ATTATTTTCTTCGATTTGCTTACGCACTTCATGTTGATATTTCACACCTTCTAGTATAGCGTAAATTCGGTACAGGATGCTGAAGTCCTTAGATTTGCAATATGCCCGTTTTAGTTTACGTAGTTTAGCCCTAGCTTTATGGGTGATATAAGGAGTAACTGTTTGGAAAGACGTTTTGAGCGGGATAGTAGTGTCTGTAATTGGATTTTCTATCGTGTCAGTTCAATTCGATTCCAATAGACGTATGTCGGACGCATTTCCCGATTTTAATATAAAAACACAATAATTCTAGGGGAAAATGGTCTAACGAAATTTACGCCTTCCAATTCAAAATTACTCTGAACGAGTATCAATGTTCCGAGGTCTAGGTGAACTCCTATACTGCACGATGTCGAATCCAAAAATGTGGCGGTAGCCATATTATATCAAATTTAAACAACATATGTACAGTTCAGAAGCAAACATAAAAACTTCAATATAAGTACAAAATATAGAAAGAATAATAATATACAATGATAAAATCTCAAATTGGAATCAAATAAAATACCAAAAATGTCAACAGAAAAAGTCCGTCATGTCATAACAAAAATATGTAAACATGGAGGGATTTTCCAAAACACAAAACATTCAAAAAAGATTCTACAGTGTGTAGAGCAGATTTAATGGTGACATCGAATATATGTAATGCATCAGGAAGTTGAAGACAAGAAAAAAACGCAGTCCAGTCGGAGTGCTGAATTAGAAACCGAAAATTGTCCCAGTTAGCATGTTCATAGTCTCTGTATTGAAAACGGTTTACTGTTGTAGATTTGTCACATTTAGCAAAAAACGGGAGGGTACAGAGGACAATTTAATGGTCACTGTTGTGAAAATTTTCGCAGACAGCCACAGATGTTGGGGTGACAACGTGACAAAATACCAATGTTGTGGTTTCTAGTAGGCAGGTGCATATGTTGTTGCCAATCATGTGTGTCTAGGGGGCCAAGTGAGCTATCAAAGCGTAATGGACCGGAATGTGTCTGCCAGTTGGTTCCAGGGAGGTTGAAATCACCACAAATAATTTTGCAGGTGAATTTAAGAGAGGCAGCCCTGGCAAACGACTCACCAATAGCAGTGTCAATCGATCGATGAGTGTTTAGAGCTCGATATATGCATCCAACCAGTATTTTACATTCATGGGTGTGCGCAGTCAGCCATATCGAATCAGGCACTTGATTAAGAACATTATCATAGAACATTTCTGATTGGATGTCTCTAGATACATAGATGAAGCAACCAACACCCTTTTTAGATCCTCGGTCACCGCGAAAGAGTTCATTAGAGTCTATTAGAAGGTATGAGTCAAGGACATCGGAGGACAACAAGCTTTCATTAATCAGGACAATGGAAGGATTGTTTACAATTACCAGTGAGCGTAAGTGGTAATCTTATTGATAACAGATCGGGAATTAATTAGCATTAGTGTTACATAGGATGAATACTCATCTTTCAGGGATGCACGATGGGAGTCTGGAGGGTTGTATGTTGTGTGTTTTGAAGAAGGGCTGGAAATAGGAATATAGGCTTGATTGTTATGGTCAGTTAATTTGTGAGCGATATAGTTAGAGGGAGAAAGGTATTCAGAGACAGGCATGGTGAGAGAAGCATGTGAGGTAGGATAAGTGTTGTTCGTCACAGATAACTGCTGACCCCCAAAAGAACAGATGAGGAAGTCGCTAGGGGGCATAAGGGTGGATCGTTTCGTAAGTCCATTGGATTAGGTATAGTGGGGTAAGTCAGATCTTTGGACATTGTGAAACGTGGTTTGTCAAACGGACCAGACATAAAAATATTACAGCTAGAAGGGGCAGATAGCGGCAAAGATTGATTGTCATACATTACATCGCAGAATTCAGAGCATGACTTGAAGGAGGAGGAAATATCGCCCTCAACAGCTGGAGGTAGTAAAACAACTTTGTTGAGGGGGTGAGCGCTAAAAAAGGGTTAGGTACATGTTTTCGAGAGACCGAAGAATCGTAAAAGGTATTTCGGCTAGGGCGGTGTGGTGTGGTTGATACCGTGTGCACTTAAGGTGTCCTTAGAACTAATATTGGCGAATGTATTTGAGTTCAGTTCGCAGCTGTTAAGGTGAATAGGATAGTGAACAGACTTGCTACAAGTGTTTCGTGGTTGCTCAGTCTGCGTAAAATCATCCGGAGTGATGAACAGTACTGGATTTCCTATGGCAAAAAGGCCTAGGGACATTTTTCGGATTGCTATAAACTTGATCCGCTTGCGGGCTCGTCAAATGTTTAAGGCCAGCCACATTTTCTAACAAGTGTTCACAGGAATCTATTTCAGATGAAACACAAGAAGTAGTGGATAGTGTCGAGTCACTCGGAAGGAGGTTAGTTGTATTTATATCAACGAGCGGGATACAAGGTAAAGAGATGTCGTTTTCAAGTTCACGGTAAGATTCTATTAAGCCAGTGGGTAGATCAGAATAAGATACGGATGGTGCACTGTTCTTACGTTTGATTTTATCGAATTTAGTAGCGGATTTGGATCTTTTACAGGTGTTATATTCGACAGGTGAAATCAAGTGTTTTTTAGATAAATGTGACATGTTTGTGGAGTTATTTGTAAGCAGAGTTTTGTAACTATAAGCACAAAGTCTGTTTGGAATTATGAAGCCAAAAACTACAGCACAAATTACTAAACTAAGAATAACCGAGGAGTGCTTGTAAGAGATGAGTTTATATGTCCCGCTGAACTACAGTAAAACGACCGGAAAACGAAAAAGATAAAACATATGAATAAAAGGTACAACCTTCAAAGTACGCGTCTCGAATGTCCATAGATATCCATGTCTAGTACATGGCCGGTTGTTGAGTTTCGATTGTTGGTTCTTTCATGGGTATTACAATTCGGTGTGGCAGTAGGGAAAATTTTAGCGGTATAAAATGAGCCACCATCACAATTGTTTATAATCAATCGAGGTCAAAATTTAGTGAAGAAAGACCCTGTTCAAATCATAATCCCTTTTCTTAATCTCAAGAGATTTTGGAGACTCTACCGATTGTGATATATGCTTTAGGTCAGAGATTGTTTCAGAATCAGCCTTGATTTCAAGACCATGGTTCGGATACGTATGATACGACGCTAGTTGTCTGTGACGAGTTTTTGCTGACCCATCAGTGTTTGTCGCGGTTGAAATATTCACGTCCAGATTGTAGGATCCAAACTGAGGTTTGGACTGAGGAATAACTGTCTAGGTAGTTTAGACACGCTCCTTGCTCATTTGAAACCAAAACAAGTGATTGGGTAAATAACGGTTCTTATATTCATCATAAATATAAATGTATATCATTACCTAAACAAATATTATCACTCAGTTATTCCACCAACAATTGTTCAATTAATCAAATCAACAGCATCAAATAAATGTTATTCTATCCTTTCTGGATAGATCAGATTCGTTCGAAAGATAATATTTGGTTGCTGTATAACACAGAGTGCTTTTTATTCTGGGAGAGTGCTTACATTCACAGTCAAAATGCACAACTTCAGTCAATACAAGTAACTCAATCAAAGGAGGCAACAATCAATATGGCTGTTGCCACGACTTAGTATCAGCTTAAACAACATAAACGCAGTTCAGTAAAGGCAGAAGAAATAGAAACTATCATAAAATACAAATGTCATCATCTCAAATGGAATTGAACAGACAAAGAAAGTGTACAACTGAAGGTATCAGTAAGAACGAATTAAAAATCTATACATTGAGTGATTTTCACAAACAAAGCCTTCAGAAACGGATCTTACGCAGATTAAGAATTCAACACGATGTAATTAACTGTTCCTAACTGCCAAAACCAGAGCCAACGGACGATCTGTGACACAAAACTTTTATTCAAAGATTACATATTCGATTCACGAGTACACCAGTATCAGCTCGATATACTCTACAACTGTCGAAACAATAATGATAAGATCGAATTTCATCAATACTTTCATTAGATATTCTCACTAATGCTAAATTTCACCCACGAACTGCGAGTCCTCCAATGAAATCCAAAGCACGAACAAGAACACCACATGGAGACGTTGGTGTAGAAAACACTGAACTTTGCCACGAACATACAGCATCAAGTTGTCAGATGAATGTGCTCGGCCAATCATTCTCACCACTGCAAATTTACGCACGCTGTAAAGACGTAACCTCCAACCAATTTGCAAGCCTGGTTTATTCCCTCGTTGATATCCCAACCACTGTTGAAACTAAACTTCGATGCTTCTCTTTCCTGACTTCCGGTTTGACTTTGCTCGGTGTATTTTTGGTCTGAAAGATTTTGTGGACAGAAGCCTTAATATCCGTTTCATCTTCAGAACTATTGATTTTGAGCGATTTATTTCCAGCTTCAGTGTACTGCATTTGTTCGTGATAAACCTGAATATTTTGATAAGGAATCCAGACGCTGCCTGAAAATTACAGTGAGCAGTTAGAAAAACGTTAAATAACTCAAACCAAACGGTAGTACAAAACTTTCATACGACGAAGGGCCAGTTAAACCTGGCATATTGCCCGCTTTAGACACCAGGACCACAGGCGACTTAATCACAACATTTAGTTGCTGATTGACTACTCTGCACCTGACGTCCTTGAATTTCCTTCTCTTCCAAAATCAGAATTTACGAGGACAAACCAAATAACGTTCTCTGCTTAGATCCATTTCCTGCCAGCTGTCGAACCTATCAGATCTTAAGTATATGGAACTCGTTACTCGTGACTCAAACTCTCTCTGCTGACTCATCGAAAACAAAGTCAGATCAACTAATCGATTAAAACCGCCTAGACTAATACAAGCCGTTCAGGCTCCTAAAACTGAAACAGAGTTAGCCACCACGGATTGGTCGTATTCCTTAGGAATAGTTGATGGAAATATTCTGAAAGCATCTTTCACATGGTCTCTTATGTTTACTGAAGCTCGAAATGTTTTATGTTAAACTGCCAATGCATAGAAGACCGTTCCAGTCTCTTCTCACCTGAAGCTACACGTCTAACAAACTAGTGGCTTTATTATTTTGAATGAATCCAAATATTACTTTGAAGAGCTTTTCAGATTCCAAGATCACTAAATAAACTAGTTATGTTGCGTTGTCTACATTGTTTTGTACATTTTGCCACATCCCATCACCTTCCGGGAAATTTAAGTTAGTGTGCAGCTCGTTGGGCAGCACGCTGAAAATTTTCAAAAAAATAGACAAAACCTCAAAAAAATCATAAAAATATAAAAAACCAAAAAAAGATATGGCTGTTAATTCAGCGAGTCAAGGATTGATGAATTCATCTCTTTACGTTGGCGATTTACACCCAAGAGTTTCTGACTCGGCATTGCAATCAAAATTTTCTGAAATCGGCCCAGTCCTTAGTGCACGTGTCTGCCGAGACCTTGCCACTCGTCAATCTCTGGGGTACGGTTATGTTAATTTCGAAGATCCAAAACATGGTAAGCTTGTATACAGTACATAACTTTGCAGCCGAACTGGCCCTGGAATCTCTAAATTACGAGACGCTGATGGGACGCCCCATCAGAATCATGTGGTCTCAAAGGGATCCATCTTTAAGAAAATCTGGGAAGGGAAATATATTCATCAAAAACCTGGAGAAGTCCATTGAACAAAAGGAATTGTATGACACCTTTAGCTACTTTGGTCGGATCTTATCATGCAAAGTATGTGCTGTTAATTATGTATCATTTGTTTAGATTGTTATGGATGAAAACGGACAGTCTAAAGGATATGGGTTTGTACATTTTGAAAAGGAAGAGTGTGCCGAACGAGCCATTGAGAAAATCAACAATATGATAATTCGAAACCGTGTTGTATATGTTGGCAAATTTATTCCCAAAACTGAACGTAAATCTCAAGCTCGGAAAGTCAAATTCAATAATCTTTACATCAAAAACTTCCCACCAGAAACTGATAACGAAAAGCTGAGGGAAATGTTTTCCGAGTTCGGAGAAATTAATAGTGCTTGCGTCATGAAAGACAGTGAAGGAAAATCTAAAGGGTTCGGATTTGTGTGTTTCTTGGACCCTGACCACGCCGAAAATGCAGTCAAAACTATGCACGGCAAGGAGATTGAAGGGAGAGTTTTGTACTGTGCTCGCGCGCAACGCAAGGAAGAACGACAAGAAGAATTAAAGCAGAGGATTGAAAAACAACGGGCTGAGCGTCAGTCCAACTATATGTTGAATGTCAACCTGTATGTTAAAAACTTAGATGATAATATTGATGATAAACGACTAGAGGAGGCCTTTAGTGTCCATGGTTCTATCACTAGTGCCAAGGTTATGAAAGATGCAAACAATCGATCTAAAGGTTTTGGATTTGTTTGTTTCGCCAACCCTGAGCAGGCTGCCAGAGCAGTTACTGATATGAACGGAACAATAATAGGTTCCAAACCCCTTTATGTCGCCTTAGCCCAAAGGAAAGAAGATCGTCGGGCCAAGTTAATTGAAGAACATCAACAGCGAATGGCCCAGTACCGGAATCCAGTTGCCTCAATGATCCCAACGGTTCCAGGTCACGCAGCACCACATAACTTCTTCCCTCCTGCATTTCAGCAGGCTCAGCGGTTTTATCACCCCTCAGGGGCTGTCCTTAGTTCTCAACCACGCTGGAATCGGGCGGCCGGAATACCCGCACAAATTGGTGCCATTCCTAACAGACCACCAGTTGCTGGGTATTATCCTGGTGCACCTAATCATGCTGCTATTACGGCTAACCAAATGGCTTCTCTTGCTCAATTCCGCACACCAGGTGTTAACAGACCGATGGTACCCAATGGGATGTCGTCCATGCCCACAACTCACTTGCAAACTGCAGCCGTTTTTAACCAGGCCGCCAATCAACAAAGACAACAAGCATCTGGAAGACAGGGTGTGGTTGTTCCACAAGTGCTTGGGGCCACGACTGGTGGCTTGAATCAACGTCCAACTGCAGCCTCAGTGGTTGCAGGACCACCATCAGCCAATCCTGCTATTCGTGTAAGTCTGTTTCACTGTTAGTTTTTTACTGAGTTACCCTCGCATTGAATTAATGTTTAAGGCATTCCTTAATTTAGCACTCATTTACGGCTTAACTGTAGTTCCAATTATAGTACGAAAAGTTCTTATTAGTGACAAGACTCGCAACAGGTTTGATTATTTTCATTTCGGTGCTGTGAGTCGTAATTGGTTACCATCCAGTCAGTTATTAATTTAAGCCCTGCCATTCTTTTAACAAGATTCAAGTATTTGTCTGATTTTATTTAACTTATTACCGACCATCGCTTGGTATCTAGCACGTTTTTCCTCCTGTGATTAGTATTTGATTCCTATTGGGTTTGTTACGTACTATTCATTCTTGGGCGCCTATAAGACTTGTTCCCCTCTCTAACTATTTTTAACCAGGATCTGATATCCAACCAGCCAGAGTATTCAAGGTTGAATTACTGTCATGGAGCTTTTCACTTTAGGATTCAGGCTGAACCAGAATTGATTTTCCTCATTTCAATGACGTTTTTATTGTTGGTAAATGACAATGGCAACTGCCATACGGTTGCTGCGTTGGTTCGTGCTTTAAACTTTGTAGCGGCATCTACCTATCTTACAAATTACTTGAACCTGTTACCCCCAATGGAGCATAGGCCACCGACCAGTTTTCTCCAACCAACTCTGTCCTGGGCTTCCCATTCCAATTCTTTCCAATTTTTGTTCATCCTCATGTCTCTATTTCTCTACGTAATGTGTTCCTTGGCCATCCTCTTTTCCTTTTACCCTAAGGGTCCCAAGAGGGGCTTGTCTTGTGACGCAGTTGGGTGCTTTGTGCAGTGTGTCCTATCCACTTCCACCGCTTCTTCCTGATTTCCTCCTTCACTGTTATCTGGTTTGTTCTATCCCACAGTACGTTGTTGCTGATGGTATCTTGCCAACGGATCCGGATTATTTTGCGTAGACAACTGTTAGTAAGCTCTTGTATCTTCTGGATGTTGGATTTCGTAACTCATCAAGTTTCCGCTCCATGCAGTAAAACTGTCTTGACATTTGTATTGAAAAATCCTGATTTTGGTGTTGATTGATATTTCTTTGGAGTTCCAGATATTTTCAACTGTAGAAATGCAGCTCTTGCTTTGTCGATCCGCGCCGTCACATCCGCATCGGATCCACCTCGATCGTCGATGATGCTGCCCAGATATGTAAAGGTGTTAACCTCCTCCAAGGCATCTCAATCAAGAGTGATTGGGTTTGCGCATGTTGTGTTGTGTCGACGAATCTTGCTTTTCCCTTTATGTATGTTGAAACCTGCTGCTATGGAGGCTGCCGCTACACTTGTCGTGGTCTGTTGCATTTGTTGTTGCGTGTGCGATAGAAGAGCCGGATCATCTGCGAAGTTCAAATCGTCCAACTGCATCCTAGCTGTCCATCGGATATTGTGCTTTTATCCAGATGTTGTCGTTTTCATAATCCAGTCGATGACCAGGAAAAAGAGAAAGGGTGAGAGTAAGCAACCTTGCCTCACACCGGTCTCCACTTCGAAAGAGTCTGTTAGCTGTCCTTCGTGTACGATTTTGCAGCTGAATCCATCATAAGAATTCCGTATGATGTTAACTATTTTCTCAAGCACACCGTAGTGTCGAAGACGCCTCCACAGTGTTCTCCTATCCACGCTATCAAATGCTTCCTCGTAGTCGATGAAGTTGATGTAGAGTGGTGAGTTCCATTCAATTGATTGTTCCACAATGATCTGTAATGTAGCAATTTGGTCAGTACACGATCGATCTTTACGAAATCCAGCCTGTTGATCTCGAAGTTCAGTATCTACGAAGACTTTGCCTAGTACTGAGAGAAGAGTTTTGCCTCTGTAGTTCTCACATTTGCTGAGATCGCCTTTCTTTGGTATTTTGATGAAATATCGTTCTTTCCAGTCTGCTGGTACTTGTTCGTCATCCCAAATATTGTTGAAAAGAATGTGGTGTTTTTTTGCAGTTGCTTACATGTCCGCTTTCATTGGCTCTGCTGGAATGTTGTCTGGTCCCACTGCCTTGCCACTCTTGATTTGTCTGATGGCCATACTGATCTCTTCAATTGTTGGTAGGCCAACATCGATTGGGAGGTCCGTTGGTGGTTTTTCGATGTTGGGTGGGTTCAGTGGAGCTGGTCGATTCAAGAGCCGTTTTTCAATGTTGCTGATTACTTTGCCTTCCTTGTTTTTCACTGGCCGTTCTGGTTTACGATAGTTTTCAGCGAGCTTCCTTGTTTTATCGTACAATTATCTCATATTTCCTTTTCTTGCAGCCTTTTCTGCCGTCCTTGCTAAATCTTACACATTTTTGTTTGTCGTTTTTGGTGCTCTTCTTCACTTTCTAGTTTGTTTTTGTGTATTCAGCTTTTGCCTTAACTTTTTCTGCTCTTGTTCAGCTGATGTTTATTACTGCCTTCAATTTTTTCAAGAGTACCAACAGCGGTCCATTCCTTATAATGGTACCTCCTGTCGCCCAAAACCTCGTGACATGTTGAAGCAATTACCTCTTTGATCCCTTTCGAATTATTCTCCATTGTTGTTTCCTCGCCATTGAGTAGATCGTGCAGAGTCTAGAATTTATTGCTGAGGACTATCTTGAAATCGTTGCGTTTTCCGGTATCCCGAAGAAAAGCCGTATTAAACTTGAAGGATGTTGTCCGCCCCATTGTTCAGTGTTTTTTGAGTTTCAGTTTCAATTTGGCGACCAGCAAGTGATGAACTGATGTGATATCAACCCCCCTATTGGTTAGGGTTTTAGTTCTGTGAGATTCCCATCCTACTAGTGCCTTTGGTGCTTGTTTGGACAGCATCAGTACAACTCCTTGTGTATGTGAAGCAGTTTCATCTTCATGACCAGAATGTAACAGCAGTTCCCCTGAAGCTAGTCTCAGTTGTCCTACCTGTGTCAAATTCGTTTTACTGATTCCAAGCACCTCCAGGTTGTATCTTTCAGTTTCTGCAGCAACTTGAAATAGTCTTCCAGTCTCCCACAATGTTCAAACGTTCCATGTACCTAAAAGAATGGTTACTTTGGTTGTCAGAAGAGGCATCGGCCTCATGACTTCCGAAGGAATTCGGCTTTCATCATGAGACGTCATAATTCTTGTGAAAGAAGACCTAACTCCCAGGGCAGAGTTAAAATGGTTCGAGTTATGTTTTTGGTTAGCGTTTTTTAGCGAGGTCGCCCAAACCTTCCTCCTTTATCCGGGCTCGGGACCGGCAGTAGCCCCAAAGGAGCTGCAGGCGGAGTTACCTATCACACAAAGTTTAGGTTAAACTCTGTCAGTTCGTCCTAGTAAATCAACGTGCTATTTGGACTTGTTTTCTATCATGAAACTGACCACCGTGTTCCAAAGAAAAATCTTTCCGAGATATCTCATTATTTACAATCATTTTTCATGGTCATTTACAGAGGAAAACGAAAACTTCGTATGGTTTTCAGGTACCGGTATCACTAAACAGCAGTGGAGAAGCTGAGGCTGATAAACGAATGACTTCTAGTTTTCCATGGACTTCGGACGTACGTTTACTGTTTCTCTTATAGCTCAAGTGATTTTGCTGTTTCAAAGAATTCATTTCTGCTCTAGTCACCACTACAGATATAAACAAATGGTTCTCATAAGATCTAGTGGATATAAGCTCTGTTACAATGTATGGTATAATCGTGTGTTAATATTGGATGCATGATCCACACCTGAGCGCTAATCCCAACCCAAATCTTCACAAAAGCCGTGATTTTGTCTCGTTACTCGGACTGACGTGGTTTGTGGCTGGACACCACTTTGTTGTATCTGCTCAATCAGGAAAATGTACTATCCATTTCAGCTTGTATTTAATCACTCAACTCTAATCTTTAAGATAATTCTAGTCAAACTTATGTCTTCAAATAAGTAAACGCAATCTGTAAATTTTATAGTTCGTAAAGGTAGTACAGTAATTATTAAAGGTCACAAAATTAGACTTGAAACGGGTGGTTACGTACTTATTATCAGAACACTTTTAGGTTGTCATCGATTGGTCCGTTGTTAAATAGGTTCTGTTAATGTCTATTTTACTCGTATTTTGTGATGAGAAAATTCTACTTTCTTTGATTATAAAGCAACAGGTAGCCTCTCAAGTTCCAAGAGCTGTGATGCATTCTAATATGCCGAATATAGCCAGCACTGCAACAAATGTTAGGTTCCACCAGACAGCGCGCAATGTTTCAGCTCAGCCGACGCTCGTCCCAGCTGGGAATATGTCTGCACTCTTACCGCCCCTTGGAGATCAAGGACAACTGACAATAAGCGCATTAGCTCAGTTATCAGAAGAGGACCAGAAAAGGACTCTTGGGGAACATCTTTATCCACGCATCAAAGAATATTACCCTGAAGTGGCCACCAAAATTACGGGAATGCTTTTGGGAGTAGATAATGCAGAAGTTATAAATCTTTTAGAATGTGAAGATCTGCTGCGCGCTAAGGTAAGATGCTTTGTTTACTCAATAAGGTGATAACGGTTCGAAATCAAAAAGTTAGATTACTTAATTTCAGCATTCTACTCCATTCAAATGTATTCATTGAATTTAAATTATTCAAAACACACGCTTCATAATTTCGTACAACTATGACATTTAGTAAACGTGAATTCTGTCAGCCAGCCTCAACGTAGAACGCCGTACATACGTACACAAGTTGACATACCACAGCATACAGATCAAATTGTCAATTCGAATCTCACAGTAGCAGAGATAGTAGGAGAAGTACTAGCAGTAATCAAAAAGAATAGTGATGGAAGATATTATTCGATAAGTATATCCCAGAGTAATCAATTTGGAAAAAGTAAAAAATCTGTCATGAATTCAGGAGATTAGGATTTGAGAAAACACAGAAAGCATGTACCTACGTCGTTGCAAACGACTTTGAGCCATGTCATTCAAGGCTCCTAACCATCGGTTACTATCATCTCGCCGATCCCCTCGACCGTGGCTGCTACTTCGACTTGGTGGTCGCACTCACGTATCGTGATGACCCAAACGAGCTATATTGGCTGGAACATATGTTCCTGTAGGTCTTACCATGTCAGGCGAGTCAGCTACACAAGATCTAAGGACGTAGTCGTACTGCTGACTGTAGAGTGTGTGACGGCAGTAGGGTGTTTCCTTCGGAAAACGAACATCTGCAGCAATGCTGCCTTCTCACAAGGAAGGAAGAGGTCAGAAAAGGTTGACCCTTAAAATGTCACACCTCAACTTGTGGGTGGGTAGCGAGAGCGAGAGAGATGGAAAAGGCAGCGGCGATAGGCGACAGCAGACAGTTGTTCCGACTTATCAAGGAAACTGGTATCAGGAATCTGACTGTAAGTGAGACTATTTCGGAAAAGGATGATCTTATTATCCATTCTCAATCCAGGAGATTGGATCGGTAGGCAGAACACTTTAGGGATCAGTTCAACTGGCCTCGAGGCACTCTTCGGTTGCCCACGATCTCCAGTCATCCTGAATGGCAAATCGACGTAAGTCCCCCTAGTCCTAATGAAGTTGAGAAAGCGTTAGTAAATCTGAAGCGAGGGCGAGCTGCAGGTCCTGATAGACTGACCCCTGAGATATTTAAGGATGGTGGTCCAGTTTTAGCAGCTAGGTTGACTGAAATCCTAGGTAGAATCTGGAAACTGGACGTAATCCCATCTGACTGGTCTCAATCACTGATTGTCCCAATCTATAAGAAAGGACAAAAGTCTTCTTGTGACAATCACAGGGGAATAAGTCTAACTAATATGGTATCTAAAATATTGGCCTCAATAATACTTTGACGCTTAACGAAAGCTCGTGAAGAGCAGACTAGAGAAAACCAGGCTGGTTTTCGACCTGGACGTGGTTGTATAGACCACATTTTCACACTACGACAGGTCCTGGAACACAGACACACATTTAGGCGTCCTACAATAGTTGTTTTCCTGGACCTTAAAGCGGCATTTGACTCTGTTGATCGTGAGGTTCTGTGGCAGTGTCTGTCATTGAAAGGTGTACCAAAGAAGTACATTAACTTTATACAAGCTCTCTACTCGAACACTACAGGTCGAGTGAGAGCTTATGGCGAACTTTCAACTGAATTCTTCACTTTAAGTGGTGTCTGTCAGGGATGTCCACTTTCTGCATTCTTGTTTTATTTTATCATAGACATGCTTTTAGGAATAACACTATCTTCGAGTGACTCTTTAGTGATTGACCTTCTACCAGGAGATTCATTGGTTGATCTAGATAATGTCATGAAGTGCTTCTATTTAGTGGAGACGCTGACAAAATGCAGTCTTCTGACCACCCTAAGCAACAATGCAAGCATGTTAGGGATGCTATCCTCTTCGTCGAAATGCAAAATGTTGCTTCAAGATTGGGTTGCATCGGCACCCGAACTAGTGGTAGGGAGTGAAGTAGTCGAGGGTGTAGACCGCTTCACTTATCTTGGCAATCTTTTCAGTGCTGATGGTCTAGTGACTGACGAGGTCTCAGCACATACACAGAAGGCGTCACTTATGGCGTAGGCGTAGGACGAGTCTACTGCTCAATGGTTCGCTCCGTCCTACTTTATGTCTTTGTAACTTGGCCAGTCAGAGTAGAAGATATTCGTAGGTTGTTTGTTTTGGATCATAGGTATCTCCGTAGCATTGCTCGTATATCCTGGGACAATCGAGTAAGCAATGCTGTTGTTAGGAAACGGGTGCTAGGTAAGGATGGCAGGTCAATACATAAAGTGGTGAGATGGTTGGGACGTGTGTTGCAAATACCTAAGCACCGACTGCCTCGTCGAGCTATATTTTGCGATGTAGTAATAGGTTGGAAGAAAGCTAGTGGTGGTCAACCAGAAACATGGCAGAAATCCATGAAGTCACTGACAAGTGGACTGAGCCGTGTCGCTCGGTGTCGACCATCTGATTGGGATCCGCGAGGTGATAGCGATCGGTAGTTAGAGACTCTGAATGGCATGGCTCAAAATTGTCTGCGATGACGCAGGTGCATTCATTCTTTATGTTCTCGAATCCTAAATTTCAGAATTCCTCATCACACCTATCTCTTACTTTTAAAGTTTATTTCACCAGATTATACTTCTTGAACAATATGTTCGAACCTTGGTCTGTCTAATGTCTGATAATACTTGTACTACATCTATTTCTTTGGGATTTGAATTGACAATTACATCTCTGCTAATGTGGTATAGCAACCACTTATGTATGTACGTATTAAGTTCTACTTTATAACTGACTGACTGTGAACCCTAACCAAGTAGTCTACACCTACTACTACTTAGGAATGATTAGTGCCATATTTTGATGTGACCGTCCTCAGCTTTCTTCCACCAAACACCACGAAACAACTCGTTAGGTTTGTTTGTGGTTTAGCATGCGTGAAACATCGCAACCAGCTCGACAGATTAATTTTTGAATACTTTATTTGTTGATCTTTCAAACTGGCCTGAAACCCTTACCCAGGAACAGCACTGCTTGCTCGATGCTTTAAAGACGCCGATGATAGAATACTAGTAGCCAGTCATTCATGCCCATAGGGCAGGACGGTTTGAGCTCCCACGCTGTAGACTGCTCCTTTGAATAGTAGAATAATATCTCGCCTACGCCACAACTGGTTCAAGTTGGCAAAAGCTAGTCGAGCCTTCTTTATCCGTGCTATCATTTCGTCACACATCAGGCCATCAGCATTTATTTGACTGCTGAGAATAATAACGTGGCCGACATACTCAGCAATTCCTCACTAGTTTAGGTACCGACGCTTTTGAATTTAAATTGACGATTTCATCTCTGTGCTAATGTGGTATGGCAACCTGAATTGATGTGCTTACGTAGGAAGTTCTACGTCGCAACTGACTAACAATTGTGAAGCAACATTTTTCCTTTGGTATCGCATTGTGAACATGCTTACATTGTCAGCGTGTTCACAAAAAAAATCTGTGATATCGGCATACTTTGGGTTGACAAGCAAGTCTCCTGGTGGTAGGTCAACTCCTGAAGTCAGACGATCAAAGTGTTGTCTCTAAAAGCCAATGACGACGTTTAGGAACAGTAGAGAAAGTTGGGAGCCCTGATGATCACCAATCAATTCCTATGACAGTTCACCTGTTTACTACACTTTTCAATGAAAGACTTTGCCGTAGAACCTCATGATCGATAGAGCCTTTTGGTCTCAGTTCCAGGGCCTGACGTAATGTGAATATCAGATCTATATATCCATGTCCAGAAAGGAAACCAGTCTGGTTTTCTCGAGTCTGCTCTTCATGAGATCTAGCCAGGTGTTGAATTATTATTGAAGATAATAATTTCGACACTATAGTAGTCAAACTGATTCCTCTGTGATTGTCACCAGTGATTTAATCCTTTCTAATGAACAGGTACAATTAGCGATTGAGATCAGCGAAATGGGATTACGTCCAGTTCTCAGATTCTACCTAAGATTTCAATCAATCTAACTGCTGAAAATAGGCCACCATCCTTAAAAATCTCAGGTGTAAGCCTGTCAGGCCCTGCTGCTCTTCTTCGCTTCAGATTTCCTATAACCTTTTCAACTTAATTAAGAGTTGGAAAACGTTCATCAGTGGTTCGCCTAACTAGTAGATATCAACGCTGCTTCCCCAGCTTTTGTATATCGTTCTAGCTGCGTCAGTGTTGAAATCACTTACATGATTGTCTGACTGTTTTCCTAGTTCCTGAAATATATTCTTAGCTGTGCTATCATTAAATCTAACCCTAAGAGGCTTCCTTGCTGTGTATTTCCTACGTCCAGTGAGCCTCAAACAAATACGCGCTCTCACTAGAGCATTATCTGAATCTAAACAAGTGCTCCAGAAAGGGCAGCAGTCTTCAATACGGCTTCTCTACTGATGGCTTGTAGCGATGTGATCTAGTTGGGTTCATCGTTGGGTCGGTCCTGAGGATCGCCAGGTCAAAATATGTTTTTCCTTATGCTTAAAGTTAGTCTGCTAGAAATAGGCGGTTATCTGAGCACAGCTGCAGCAAATGGTCGCCATTATTTGTTCTATTAGCCGCGCCGCCATAAGATCCACCCAGGCGTCTTCCCTTTTCGTTTCGTGAACTCGAGTCGTTTGTATTGGCGGTGCAAGGTGGTAAAAGGATATAAGAAGGGTGAGTCGTGGAGATGTTTGTATGAAGAATTTGATTGCAACCAATTTGGTCTCGTCTGCTGTTACGGGTATGAGGGTGAATGTCTCTTCCCGGCTGCACACACAATAGAAAGGTGTTTTTGAGGAGCCTGAAAAGGAAGTTGGATTGGTGTTGATTTACAGAGGCATGATAGCGTGGCCGCAGAACCCAAGGGGAACTGCTTTAGGGTTGAACTTTTCCAACCACTTCCTTCCTTGTGAGAAGGTAGCATCGCTGCAGATGTTGGTTTTCCGAGGGAAACACCCTACTGCCTTCACACCTGTCTACAGTCAGCAGTACCACTTCGCACTCAGACTTTGTTTAGCTGTTTTTAGTCTTACCGTTCTGCAATCGACCTACCTGACATTGTAAGAACTTCAGCCAATATAGCTCGGTTGGGTCATAACGATACGCTAGTCTGACCACCACGTCAATGTTAGTGGCCACCTCCGAGTGTGAATTCTAGAAATGGTTTTCGCCTAGTTTATGCATCGTATCGTTATCGTCTTGTTAGATACCACTGAAAAGATATCATAGCAATTCCAAAAAATGAGATTCCACCTGAAATACCATGACAGAATAAATCAACAATAAGGTAAATACGGTGGTTACTGGATTGGAGAATGTAGGTCAACACTCGGTCTCTAATGGTTATTGTTTGACGATCACTTTTTTAATAAAGTCAAATTCATTACCTTTTGATCAGTATTTTGTATAATACTAAGAGTTTCACCATAAAAAATAATTTAGCTCTCTTCTGTACCGATATTTCTTTCTCAATGTAAGTATTATTTATTCACTTGTATCTTTGCACATACGCAATACTTCCGAGGCAGTTGAATAAATACAAGTAAGCGGTACATTGCTTCCATCGTCGAAAATCATGTCGAATAGTCACCAAGCGAACTGTTGCGCTCTACACTGGTCCTCTTATGGATCCCTTGCTTATTCCACAGATGGTTCAGGTTATTATTCACCTTATAAACATTTTAATTCTATACTGATACCTCAGTCTTTAAGGCTAATAAAATAATAATAAATAAATAAGTTGTCAGAGTACTCAAGTACTTCAGTTTCTATTACTGGTTGGGTCTGAAACACCATATTGCTCTTAGAGAAAGAAAAACATCCCAAACATTCTTATACGGTAGACTTCTGTTAGCGTCATCACCAAAGGTTAATTGCCTAAGATTAATGTTTCTCTCGATCAGTAGGTCGCTGATCAGGGATCTCTAAGCACCAATGTCCTAGGCACTTTCCAACCGTTGCCAACTGATATTCACCATCTTAATGTCTAAACCCATTCCGTGGTGCCATCTGTTCGTGGGTCCGCTTTTACAATTGCATTGGGGATTCCAAATCATGACTTGGTTTATGATACGGTTTGTAGGTTTCTGTAAAATATGTCCTACTCGACTCTAGCGTCTCATCTTGATTTTACCGGCTGGTTTACTCTCTATTAAAGTAGATAATTACCGATGGTATCTGACCAATAGATCTGTATTATCTTGTGTAAACAGTTTATGATTAACTCCTTTTTAGTGATGGTGGTAATTGGGTCCCATATAGTAATAGTACATAGTGATAGAGCGTTAGTGTTTTACTAACATTTGCTTAGCTTGACAGTTCATTTGAGTCCTTTTGAATGAATACTACTCACTCGTTTGTCGGTCAAACTTAGCTAGTGCCAGCAATATAACGGATTTTAACCACTCATTTGTTACGAAGTATCTATCGTGACTGAGGTTTTGAGGAACTTATAATTTGACGTTCTCTTATTTTGGGTCGCTTTTATCAACCAATATTGTTGATTAGTTTACACCTCTAACTATGTATTTTTCGGTCTTTTTTCAGTGTGAGGAGGCTTATACTGTACTAATAAGCAGCCAAAGCCAACAAGGTGGCGTTGCCGAAGGCAGACATGCTTCTCCGGGTCAAAACGGTGATGGCTTAACTGGAACAGGGTCTATGAAAACTGAAGATTCCAATAATTGAGCCGAGGGTATCTTCGCGACAATATACTCTATCTAACTTTGTTTGACAGTCCTATTAATTTCTTTCTAACTGTTGATGAGGGTGACTAGCTCAAAAAGTGTCTTATTACTTTGGTGTTTCTCTCTATTACTGATGGTCAACAGTTCTTTATGCTTGATGAATTTACCACACTTGTTCTTTTCTCTTTCTGAACTGGAGGTTAATTGACTTTCATGTTGTTTTCTACTAAGTTTATTTGGTGTTGAATTACAGTTTTGGATAATTAAGGTGGACTTTTTAATAAGACCACTGTGTTGTGTCGCTCGTTTCCGTAACAGTGTTCATGAAATTATAAGATGTATATCGTTCTTATTTATTTCCGAACCGTATCTGTTACGTTAATGTGGTTTCCCTGTAACAACAACCGTCTAAAGTAATACTTACAGTGGTCGAACGGGGTTCGAATAACTGATCTACCGAAACATTTCGATTACCGGGTTTCCTCCTCTGGTGGTTATGGCCTATAGTGAGTGCATAGGTAATCACTAATACAAGGCAGGATATTTGGTTGTCGTTTTGTTTTTCGCTATCACACTGCTAGTGTACGAATACCGCTGGTGACCTATTTTACTTTTTAGGTTCCTCATAAGAAAATATTATTCTGTAGTATGTGCCTAACCGGGAAGTAAAAATCCTCGTCAATTCCTTAATAACTCACGGGATCACCTTGTTCGCAGTCACATCCCATCTTCCCATTTCCATCATCAAATTTCATGTTTCTAAATTTTTCTACATGTGCCTGCAGTAATTATAATGCGAGTCCTACAAATACTATATCAAATATTCTGGATTCGTGCTTAAAACTATATTTGTTTTCATTGTCCAAACTCAATGTCAAGTTAGATAACAGGCATCATTAGATACGACTGGAATCTTGTGCTATCGATTCAAGGTAGGTCTCTAAAACGCTCGTACAAGATCTTAGTTTGATCATTCGCGTAACCGAAACTTACCGGTGGAGGACTAGCATGATTTACCATCGTGCAACAGGGGATAGAACAGCAAGTTCGGAAGTGAAACAGGCAAATTTCGGTTAGATTCCTGCCAGCACTTGTATTCGCGCTGTCCACCATCTCCATAGTATAGTAAGAACCTAGAAACACGAACACGCCCTTGTCCCTCAGTTGTTTTTGTACATGCCGCTACTGCGATAGGATAAAAGACGAATTTCAATGAAAACTTTTAGTCTTTAGAAAGTTAAGATCCTGAACACAGTGTTGTCTGCTGCATTCATGAATACTTTTAAAAATCTTGGAAAACTCCGAACCACGAAGTGGCTACAGTTCAGATGTAGACCAAGAAAATTTATCTAATGGTTGTAACCTGCATGAAAAATGAAAACCAAAGGATGGGGAATGCTGGCGGTGGTCTGTAATACCACACATCTCTCCCTACTGATCAGGAAGCGTATTCAGAAGTCAAATATCAGTCAGGATTTCATCTACACTGTTTTCAAACAACTAGATTGGGAAATTGACTTGGGTTTTCTAACAATGAAGTTTTAGAAAGACAGTATTTGGTTAGGGGATGTGTAAGATCTGTTGGGTTGGACTCAAAGGTCTTTAGGAATAGTGGTCAGGTTTTAGTTGTTGTGCTGACTGGTGTATTAGCTAGGGTGTAGAGAGCGGATGTAGTCTTATCTGGCTGGTTTTGATTACTGGTCGTCTCATTTTGTAAGGACTAAGATCCGTTTGTTACTGTCTCGTCGAAACCAATTTAACTAGTGTGGCATCTCAAACGCTGGCGTCTATAACCATCCTATTCTTATCCACCTTAGTAGCAGTACGAGCAGGAAAATCTAGGTGCGTTTGAGACCTGTTTGTTGATATTCCGACTTAACCTTCACTTCGTCTGGTGTACTAATTGGAAGGACTGTAGCGGCGGCGAAACCGGAATATGGCATCGTGCATAAAGTCATTTCCTGATGCTTTGAGACGTGTTGGTGGATGCAAATTTTCAATCAGTGATAAGAAAAATGTGACTTATTCACAATTAGTCAAAGGGATGCAGATTCATTCATCCTTTGCTCTGAATATCCAGTGCCAGTTTCGCTTCTCTAATGTCCTTACATTGTCTTTTCGCACCATATTCTCAATGTTTAGTCTTCCTTTTCAATGCATTGGTTCATCTTTCCCTTGAGATGCATATATGTGAACTTGACTCAACTCAACGGGGTTACTGATCGATACTGACATTTTATCAGACCTATTGATTCGTTAAGTATTTTTAAAGTAATTCAGTGTTAAAGATTGGTACTGTCTCTATAATTTGTATCCTTTTCATTGTATGTTGATAACATAATAATCAACATGTAAATTTAGTTCTTCCACAGTCATTAAGTTTACTAAAAGCATACGAAAGTTACCATGTTTTGATGTGGTTTTCATTATTAATTGACATAAAGAGGAACAAATAATTTTTTGAAGCAAGGTATATTACTGCAATAATGTAGTGTACATTTCATAAGCATTATTTTCTATGAAGGATTCAGTAAATGCTAAATTTGTTCACGTTTCATCACACGGCATCATTGTCTTGTCAAATAAAGAACCCCAATGGCGGAGTTAGAATTGCTGAAATAATTTTTTCTGGTTAGCGTATCTTAACCAAGTTTCATTACATGAGACGAGGTTGCCAACCACATGACTGACGCTTCATTGATTGGCACTTGTGACCGGTAATAACTCTAGAAAAGTTTCAGCATGAGCTATCAACTTCATGATATAGAAACTTTAAAATTACAGTGATCTTTTTATGATAGATTTTCGATTGAATTTATTTATATTTGAATGATGAACGAGTGAATGACTATTTCACATCACATGTTCAGTTTTGTGAACTCAATACTTTTTTAAACCGAATGTCGTGATGACAACACATGATCTTCATTTTCTTATTTATCGTTTTACCTGAATAATGAAAGCTTGGAAGGCTATTTATTTTATTCTCTCTCGAAACCGATATCACTTAAATGTACTCATGAAAACGTTAACAAAAATTAACTGACAAATAGTTGGTTATAAAATAGTTTAAAAATTAACTTCTTCATAGATTATGTGTATCATACAAACAGATTTATATATGAAGAAGTATATATTTTTCATTTCGTTTACGAGGAATGCTGAAATTGTTCAAAGTGAGAAAGTAAATAATTATGTAAACATTAAAATTACAGTTTCAATGTAAGATAGTCTTGACTCAGTCGATAAAATGGTTAATTCTTTTTTAAATTTGATAAATAGCAGTTTGTTAGTAGTATTCTTGCAGCTGTTTTGTTTTCGTTAATCTTCTAGTTAACCGAAAGAAGATAGGATTTACTTCAATGGATCATATGTAATCAGTGAACTTAAAGCACACACACACACCATTCATCACTGCTGTAAGAAATGTTACTGATAATCTACTTGACTATTTGAATTTGATACACATGACTTTTAAACGTGAAATGTTTGTTTAAGTACATACGGTTCAATCATTTCATAATACTTTAATCAATATTTAGCAATACAATATTGATTTCGATTATTTTTAATCCACCAACTAGTTTCCAACATAATATTCCAGTCAACTGAAATAGGATGATGTTAATAAAATAAAATAACACCATAGGATTTGAACTGAAACATAAGGTTATAGGTATACTTTAAACTGTATTGTTAATCAATGTAGAAAACAATGGATTATTATCATTCGATTGAATTTGAGCATGTTCACAACCGAAGAAAACTAAGATTAAATTGACATTTTATGAATATCCATATTTGAAATCATCAATCAATCATTTCTAGACCACCATTAGAAACCTGGAAGCACTGGACGGCCGTTTCGTCCTGATATGGGACTCATCAGCAGTGAGCATCCAGGGTTCGAATCCTGCGAGGTACAGGAGTCGTGGATGCGCACTGCTGATGAGTCCTATACCAGGAAGAAACGGCCGTCCAGTGCTTCCAGGTTTCTAATGGTGGTCTAGCAATGATTGATTGATGACTTCAAATGTGTAAAAACACAAAACTCTAACTGAAAAAATTCTAATATAGGAAAATAATCAATACAAGTGATTTCGAATGGTTAATAATGGATTCAACTTCTTTATGACCTTGAGGATTATTATTTATATCATAGTTCTGTTTACATTAAAATTACATTGGTATGAAGATTTGTTATAAGGTTTTTCTTTTTTTGAAGGAAAAGTTTGGAAAGTATTTTATTTGTTAACTTACAAGAGCAAAATTTTGTGATTTCTCCTTCCAGTGAATTTTAGAAAGTCCCTGAGTCATCACGATTTTATGAAATGCTTATTGCTGTACTAATGTTTATTATCATTAACTTGAATTGAAATAATTAATGTTCAAGCAATAATACAAAAAAAGAGGGAAATCCATTGATAGTATCAACTAGACACCAATGAACTTGCTAAATTGAGTTCATTATGAGTGGGAAAAAAAGTACAAAGAAAATATTTGGTATGTGTAGACTACTTGGTTGGGGTCGGCAAGTTGACAGTAACTGATGGTTAGAGACCTTGAATTACATGCCTCAAAATCGTCTGCAATGGTGTAGATGCATTCGTTATTTGTGTTCTATCAAATTCTAATCTTCTGGATTGCTCATCACTGCTTCCTTTCTTTTTATAAATTTATCTCACTGAATTATACTTCTCATACCAACATACCAACATGACTCAGTCCACTTTTTAATGATTTCATGGATTAGTGCCTGTTTTGGTTCGGCCGACCCCAGTTTTCTTCTAACCTTCTACATCGCAAAACATAGCTTGACGATGCAGTCGGTGGTCGGGAATACAGAACACGTGTCCCAACCACCTCAACTGATGAAGTTTCACTACTTCATCAGTTGATCTGCCATCCCTACTTAGTACTCGTTTACTTAAGACAGCATTGCTTACTTGGGTTGCCCACGATACTTGAGCAATGCTTCGAAGACACCTATGATCGAAAACAAGTAACCTACGAATGTCCTCTTTTCTCGCCGGCCATGTTTCGCATCCGTATAGTAGGACCACCATCCTTAAAAATCTCAAAGGTCAGTGTAGCCCGACCCGCTCCTCTCCCTTGCTTTAGATTTCCTATAACTTTTTCAACTTCATTAAGAGTCGGAGAACGTACATCAATTCGCCATTCAGATGACTGGAGATAGTGGACAACTGAAGGTCTGAAGTGTTCTGCCCATCGATCCAATTTCCCGGATTGAGAATGAATGATACGACCATCCTTTTCCGAAATAGCTTCGCTAACAGACGGATTCCTATTCTCAGTTTTCTTGATAAGGCTGAAAATTTGTCTACTGCTGTCTATCGCCTTTGCCTTTTCCATCACTCTTGCTTTCGTAACCCACCACTGCTCGTGATCGTTGCGTAGGCTTGTTATCAGCCTGTGCTTAAGTTGACTTCGCTCTTCGTCATGTTTAGTGCCACACGGGATTAGTTTTCGAGCACCTGTCAGTTCGGCAGATGAGATTCATGGCTTATACATAACCTCATGGTTCGCCTTACTAGCAGATGTCACTGCTGTTTCCACAGCTTTTTGTATATCGTTCCAGCTACCTCGTTGTGGGAATCACTTACATGATTGTCTGACTGTCTTCCCAGTTGTTTCTGAAATATATTCTTTGCTTTGTTAAGTAGAACCTAAAGAGATTTACTTGTTGTGTCTTTCTTACGCCCAGTAAGACGCAGACGAATACATGCTCGCACTAGAGCATGTGCTCCAGAATGAGCTACAGTCTTTAATGGAGCCTCTTCATCAATGTTTGATCTAGTTAGGCCCACCGTTTGGACCACTTTGGGGGTCTCTGTATCAAAAAGTACATTTCCTTATGTGTTAAGTCTGTGTTTGCTAGTAAAAGGCGAATGTCTGAGCATAGCGGCAGCATAGGGTTGCGCTTATCTGTTCTTTGAGCCATGTCACGATAAGATCCACCCAGGTGTCTTTCTTTTTCACTAAGTCTACCTACTTGAACACTGAAGTCACAAGCCATTATTACTATATCAGAGTACCTAACTTTTTGGAGGAGGTCTGAAAGCTTTCTGTAAAACTCATCTTTTACCTTATGTCAGCTGCAGTGAGTTAGAGCGTAAACAGATACGACGAAGAGGCGTGAATGTCCCTATCTTTCCGAGGCCGTACTGTCCCGTTTAGTTGGACAGTGCACGAGCGATTATCTACTGGGATCCAGTCTTGGAGAGTTAGTTCTGCCCTACGACTTAATACTACACCTATATCAGCGAGGCCACGGGAAGTATCGGTGGGCCTTCCAGATACACGAAGCTTAAACCGAGTTGATTCTCTAACTGGACAAGGTGAAATCAAAATGATGATTTTGCTCGGATCCCTTATGCGCGTTTCGAAGACGCAGCATGCGTAGATGTCACGAGATTGTAGCGTCCTGTTGCCATACTCGACACAAGGTTTGAATATATAAAGCTCCAACATGCAGTTTAGAACTGGTTTTAGGAGACCAGGAATAACGTTTCGTGAACTCGAATCGTTTACATTAGCGGTGCAGGTTGATAAAAGGATATGAGGAGGGTGAGTCGTGGAGATAAGAGATGTTAGGACTTGTAGGAATGATTTGATTGCGACCAATTCGGTCTCGTTTGGTGTTAAGGGTATGAGGGTAAGTGTCTCTTCTCTGCTGCACACACAGTAGAAAGGTGTTTCTGAGGAACCTGAAAAACAAGTTGGATTAGTGTTGGTTTACAGAAATATGAGAGCGTGGCCGCAGAACCCAAGGGACAACTTTTTGAGGCCCGTCACGCACGATCGTTTCATGAGAAGTTTTTAAAGTGTTAGCTGCGCTCTTCTTAAAAAGCCTTACCACCGAAGACGGAAATCCGTGCAACCAGGTGAGGTGTGACATTTTAAGGGTCGATCTTTTCTGACCCCTTCCTTCCTTGTGAGAAGGTGGCATCGCTGCAGATGTTGGTCTTCCGAGGGAAACACCCTACTACCGTCACACCCTCTACAGTCAGCAGTACGACTTCGTCCTCAGATCTTGTGTAGCTGCTTTTAATATTACCGTTCCCCAATGGACGTGCCTGGCATTATAAGACCTACAGGAACATATGTTCCAGCCAATATAGCTCAGTTGGGTCATGACGATAGGTGAGTCCGACCACCACATCAATTCTGACCACTCTTTGTCATTCCTTTGATCATACACATTTCTGAATTTCATATGAGCTGCTTTTTGTTTCACCACTTTGTACCTTTTGTTTCCAATCTTTACTAATACCGTTAATAATTTTACTACTTTTATTATTCTGGAATTTATACTGACAATTTCATCGCTATATAAAGTATGGCAACTTGAATAGATTTGTAATTGTGCCAGGTTTTACGTTGTATATGATTGAATGACCTGACCACATATAGAATAGTTATATTATGAAAATGAATTGAAATAAATACTATTTTATATTGGTAATCATTATGATACTTTATTGCACTGTCTGTTTGAAAAGAATATGTAATTTGATGTAGTAAAACACGTTAAGCAAAAAATGTTTAAAATATTCGGAATGGAAATTAGAGTAAATGATATTAGAATGCATAAAAAATTCAATTTTCGAAGTTGGGTTAGTTACGGCTCATATATATAATCAGATAAATAATAACAGAAACAGAATAATGTAGAGTAAGTACACAACGATTACAACTACAATTAGTCATGTCTGCCTAATACGGTTGTTTAACTCAAACTTATTTTCTTATCGCCTGTTCTCTATAACCAGATTCATTGATAAGAAGAGTAACTATCTACTGCAAACCAACATTTTGGCAAGTCTCAAACGCATTTTAACCATATTATCGTGAAAAGTCATAAAAAGACTGTAAATATACAAAGGTAACTACAATTTGATTATGCTGACTGACTGAATGATATCTAGGTTAAGTTTAAGCTCTTGGATAAACGTATTTATTAGCTGCATCTAATGAAATGAAAGATAATGACTCCAAAAGCGTCTTGACAACATTAAGTAAAGTCCCAGTAAATCAATATGAGCTGTATTTTGAACTGTAAACTTTCTGTGTGGAATAACTAAGATGGTAAAAGGCAAAATGTTGCTTCATGATTGACTTGCATCGGCATCTAAACTACTGATAGAGAGTGAAAAAGTTGAGTCTATCAACCGCTTCAACGATCTTAGAAATACCATCATTGCTGATCACTTGGTGTCTGACGAAATCTCAGCTCGGATTCAGAAGGCTCAACTGGCTTTTCCAGTTTGTATCGCTTCCGGCGTAGGCGAGACATCCGTCCACTAACCGAACGACGAGTTTGCTGCACAGCAGCTCACCCCATCCTACTTTACGTGTGTAAAATATGACCAATATGAATATGGCATAATCATTGGTTACTAGTATTCGATCATCGGTGTCTTCAAAGCATTACTCGTATATCCTGAGACTATCGAACAAACAATGCTGTTGTTTGGAAAAGGGTATTGGGTGAGGATGACAGATCAATAGACGATATAATGAATGTTCATGAGTTGAGGTGGTTGGGATATGTGTTACGTATGCTCAACCAGCAGCTACTCCAATGAGCAATGTTTCGTGGTGTAGTAGGAGTAGGTTGGAAGAAAACTACGGGTGGCCAGATCAAAATACTGCACAAATCCATAGAGTCACTGACAAGTGGACTGAGTCCTGTTGGTAGGTGTAGTCTCCTGGTTGGGGTCAGCAAGACAACAGTATCGGATTGTTGAAGACTTTGACTGACATGCCTCAAAACCGCTTGCAATGGCGCAGATGTATCCATTCTGTGTTCTCTCAAATTCTAATATCCCAAATTCCTCATGACCTTTATTTTCCTTTACTAAATTTATTTCAGTGTATTATGTATCTTCGATTCGTAATCTTTTTGATTAATGCTTATACTTCTACTGCTACTATAGGATTTGAATCGACATCTCTATCTGTGTGTGCTGATATTGTATGGCAACTTGAATCGATGTACATATGTTCCAAGCTCTACGGTTTAGCTGACTGACTGGGGACTCTTATGTATAACATTTATTGCATTATATTACCAGATTATAGGTATCAGTCCTACTGCTTAGTTTAATTCGAGTACTGTTTTTGTGTATGTTGATGACAACCATAAGTCAGTCTGTTATCAATTGTTTAGACCATATTATTTTGTCCTCGGCTTTATATATTTCAATTGAACTATTTTCAGTTGTATTCAGATTTTAATAAGCCTTGAAACAATGACAAAAAAGTGAAATGGATATTCCCTTAAAGTTTACTAGTGAATGAAGCCCTTATTAGTGCACGGACTGATAGAATTTGTTTCTTTATGCTTACAAATTTCATTACATCCAGAAATCGACTATAATAATATATGAATGTATGATAATTTATGCTAAATACAAGACTGATTTGCAGATAAATTTATGCTGTTATAACTACGATAAACGGTTGACGTTCAAGGATAAATCCAATTTATTATCTCTTTATATCTACTGTGACAAGGGCATTTCTGGTTTTCCTTGTCTCTCTTAATGTTTTCTAATCAGTTGCTTATTTTAATCTGACCTAATTATAATTTATTAAGGTACTCATTAGAAAATACGCTCCAACAGTCAGTGTAGCAAATTTCTGACTACTGTTTAAAACTTGCATCGACAACAAAAAACTTGTTTCTTTTGTTCAAGTGAGATTGAAATGATTTGCATAACATACATAGTAGTAGCTTATTGAACTGGGAAGTATCCCAGTAATTTAATCTGTTATACTGTGTGTATAGTCTGATTAGGATAAGAGTTTATGGAGAATGTTTAGTTGCATAGTTTACATCAAAAACTGACCTCAGTTCTTGATATGTAAGTAATAAAAAAGTGTTATGACTGTTTGCATCTATTTGTTGAATAATTGTTGTGATTAATTTGTTACCGTGAATTATTTCAGTTAGTTTTAGTCAAAAAGTTACGTCTGTATAAAATGAATTTTGAAATTTTTTCATATTTTAATAAAAAATCATGTTTGTGAAGTGTTTCGTAATGTAACAGCGATACAAATAAGTCGGTTGAGTAATATCCTAAAATGATTAAAAATTATATGTACTAGATGCTGGATTAGCTATCTAATCGGAAAACTATGGGCTAGATAGATCCCTACTTGAGTCGTGGATGTTCACTTTCGAGATGCCTCATTGTAGAACAAAACAACTATCCATTGTTTTCTGATTTTTATTGTTCAATTTTATTCAGTCATAGGTAAAATATATCTAACATTCATGTTTATTATAGGTTGCCCAATCAGTACAGAAATATTCAATGTTCTTTGAATTTATATGAAAAAACATTTACTTTTGGATTCACGAAATAGGTATGCTTTTAAGAGTGCAGTCTAATTCTGAATAAAAAACAAATACTTTTATTAAGTAAATGGATAGAAAAAGTCGCTTGGCAGCTGCACAAGAAAATAGGGTTGTAATTTTTCTCGAGTTTCAGCCACCGGTGTCACATCAACAAACCGAACTCGTTGTGTGATTTCAATCTTTAAACCCGGTTTCTAAAACATAAAAAAGAAAACGTTTTATTGGTAATTACAAAGATTATAGTAGCAAATTTGATGTTAAATAATTTCATAGAAAATCACATTTTAAGAGTCTGAAGAAGATCCATTGATCAGGAAAGATGATTTTGATGAGTTTGGGTTGTTTGACATGAGTGTACTCAGCAATTGTTTATGTTCTCATTAACTGATAGCTCTGGGCTACTGATTAGAATTCTTTTGATAGCCTCCATCCTCTATTCCTTTTATCATCTCCATTGATTGTAAATAGTTTTGTGGTTGTTAGGATATTTATCCAATAACCTAAGAGAATTATTGGTCAATTCTTATTGGTTAATTCTTACTGGTCAATTGTATGGTCGTCCTAGATATCAATGTCGCGTGCTCCAATGCTGTTTCTTATTGACTGTCCTGACTATCAATGTCACTTCAAATGTTGCTTCCTATTGGTCGTCTTAACCGTCAACATCACAGACTTCGATGCTGTTTCTATTCGACCAAAATGTATAAATACGCATTATCTGTAACGTTTTATGACCAGGACCAGGACCCGGTCCCGGATCCCTAGTCCGGGATCCTGAATCTCTCCTGGACTCGGACCTCGTACTTTCTGGATGCTTGTAGAATACAGGTTTTACTTCATACCAAGTCTTCTTATTTTTACTCAATATGGGGGGTTGGGATAATCGGATTTGAGTAGCATGTCGTATCGCTGGATCCTCGATCTTCGCTCTCGTTTTCCGACAAAGCAAACTCGTAATAGTGCAAGCATATCAAGTTGACGTGTTTACGTGCAGGCGTAACAGTGGTTGAAATCCATTCCCATCGAACTATACAAGTTTTGATTTATTATCAATGAACTCATTGATTTTTTGATTTTTTTTTTCCAGATATTTTAAAATTGATGATATTTATGGGTGAAGTAGGTTCAATAGATGAAATAGAAGGACAAGTTCTTACTTATATACATTGGTTTAATAATCTTCATTCAAAGTTTACTGATTCATTTACTTTCATGAAGGCATGAGAACTTGGTAGAATGTATGAGAGATTATGTTTTGATAGTTTTATCCTCGTAAAACTATTTTGGTTGATGTTTCATGCAATCATGATTGTTGAACTACTTTTCGATATTCTTGTAGTCTCAAACAAATCCATGTCACTTAAGATTATTTCTTCTATCTAAATCATAGCAAACTCTGAATGGGTAGTATGCACTGATTTATCGTTGTTGTATTTACTTATCTTTAGTCTAACTTGTCAGTGTCATCTATTAACCTAAGTGATTCACATCCATATCGATCTGTAATAAACTCTTACCATGAAAAATACATCACCATAAATATAATTGCTTTTAGCTCCAACAATTTGATTTTGTGGAAATATCATTGAACCGAAACGTGAATATTGTATTTCAATCTCTTGTCCAATTAATAATTGATAACAATAACTAAAATGTAATGATATATCAAAATGAGTAAAAAATTATGATTCAGTTAGGTAAATAATGTAGATTAGTGTTCAGTATTATTATATGAACAGCAAAGCTAAAAAAATACCTAAGGTTCTGAAGGTCACTAATGTTAAAAACATTTCTATTTACATTTCAAAATATTTAGCGAAAAGTTTGGCTTTTATGAGAAACTAAATTATACTAAAATATTTGAGAGTAATAACAGTAAGTAGGTCAATTCAACGCAACTTAGAACTTGGCACGTATGTACATCAGTTCAAGTTGACATACCATATCAGTACATACAGATGGAGATGTCGATAAGCAGTAATCAAAAAGATTACGTATCGAAGATACATAATACACTGAAATAAATTTAGTAAAGGAAAATAAAGGTCATGAGGAATTTGGGATATTAGAATTTGAGAGAACACAGAATGGATACATCTGCGCCATTGCAAGCGGTTTTGAGGTGTGTCATTCAAAGTCTTCAACAATCCGATACTGTTGTCTTGCTGACCCCAACAAAAGGTAGACTACACCTACTAATATGACTCAGTCCACTTGTCAGTGACTCTATGGATTTGTGCAGTATTTTGATCTGGCCACCCGTAGTTTTCTTCCCACCTACTACGACTACACCACGAAACACTGCTCATCGGAGTAGCCGGTGGTTGAGCATACGTAACACATGTCCCAACCACCTCAACTCATGAACATTCACTACATAGTCTATTGATGTATTTACTTCTGGCTGACTAGAACCATGAAATACTCTGTCGTTCACATCAATCTGCTGGTCTTCATTATTCTCAGTTGTCTTGTTCGTTTCATTTTATTGTTGCACCTGTTTTTCGTTATCGATTTTGTTAAAACATTTATTTAACTTCATTGACTGTAAACAATTCTATGTTATATAAATAACTCAATAGAAACAGATAAATTGATTATTGTTTAAAAGATAGTATTATTTTTAAACGTACAAAGCTTATCAAATACAGAATATTCACACTGAAAACACTAACCCATTCAAACCTCTTGGTGTAGTTGGAAAATTATTATTGATTAGATTTTGTATAGGAATCCATTCAGAACTGCGATTTGTTTTAGATATCGGCCATACTGCTAGTAAATCTGGTTTGTTTGACATAAAATTTATGCCTAAACCTTTACGATCTTCTTCATTTGTAATTCCAAGTGGATTCAATAAATTTGCCCATATTATATTTTGATATTGTACACAACGTGTGGTCCAATCCATTTGAGGTCTTGTAAATTGTTCAAGAAATGTTAAACTAAAAGTGTGAAATTTGAAAAAAAAGATACTGGAGTATTGATTTCGATAGTAATTATATTATTACGGTCTTGAACTTTCAACAAATGATGTTAGACTGTTGACGATAATAAAACACATGTGTAGCAAATTGAAAATCGAGATAAATGTGAATACAACGGATGTACCAGTTTATCCATCACTAACTTTCGCAGAATGAATTATTGATCCAAACACTTAATTTCTGACTACTGGTGCATTAGTTCACATGCCTGTGTGCATACCAATGTTTAGGCAGCTCGTTACTGCCGTTTAGAAAGCTAACAAAATCTAAAGATGTTAGTCAGGCTAGTTAGAGGGCATTCGATCGATTAAAAAAAATATATACACGGTTCTGAATATCAATCTCCTAAAGTAATCGTACTCTGAAAGATAATTGTTTTCGATAAGAACAGTTTCGTGATAGTCTAGTTATCCTATTTGCCATCGTATAATAAGGCTCAATGGATTGATAATGTCCATTAGTTTGTTTATATCTGACCAGTCGTCTTGTTATTGAAACTAGAAACATTTAAAGTCTGTATAATGATGATGTAATGCATCTTTCTTGATTTCTTTGTATATCTCATTAAGTTCTTATCAAAGTAAAGTAGTCCGTTCAATGAATCCTGATCAGTTTATTGTTGCTTCATCATTTCAGTGTTATCAGAGTTAGTGATGAGTCGTTCAGAGAACCTTATTGCTTTGTGAATTATTTCAAACCATATTGCTGAGCTATTTTTAAAATGTGTTATATGTAAGTGGTTCTATGCATCTTTGCGCTGTGATTACGATTTATCTTTTTGAACACAGATTCATAACCTGAACTAGATCATCTTTTTCGAATTGTAGAAATCCAATGTTTGAAAGTGACATACGTAGTCAGGTTTAAAAAAAGAATTGTATTTCTCGGCAGCATATCATCACTACATAGCTTTGATAACACTCATACGCTTCTTTAGTCACTAAGTGTTGCGTAATTTTTTCTGTTTCACTAGTTTTATATATTTCCTGAATCTTATGTTTGTTGCTCATTTTTTCCTATCACACCACTAACACTGGACCCTGATAACTTATTCTTACTGTACTAATAGGAAATGGCAACTTGGTTCTATGTAAACATGTGGTATGTTCTAAGTTGCATCTGGCTAGCCGACTATTTGGGAATGTTCATGACAGTTACATAGTGCATTAAGATCACAAGGCGAAGAATAAGCTGTAATTTAAATGCCTAATAATGCCTAAAATGGATTTAAACTATTCGGCAAAGCAGAATATCAGGCCCCACTTTGATGTTCTATATGCCATATAAAACACAGGTTAATTGTACGCATTATTTTTTTTTCACAAACAGCGGTTTAAATAACTATCTTCCTATTCAGTCAACTTAGATCTTTCTAAAGTCAGCTACATTCACCCAGGGTAAAGCTAAAATATAAAATAATATTTTGAAAGGAAATAACTACAAAAAGTGATGAAATGTAATGCTTAACAACTTATGATGATTGAGTTTGATCATTTTTCGGGCAGAGTTTTGGAAGTTTGTGTTTTTACACATTTGAAATCATCAATCAATCATTGTTAGACCACCATTAGAAACCTGCAAGCACTGGACGGCCGTTTCGTCCTGGTATGGGACTCATCAGCAGTGCGCATCCACGACTCCTGCACCTCGCAGGATTCGAACCTGGGACCTTCGGTATTGTGCGCGAACGGCCTAACCGTTAGACCACTGAGCCGGTATCTAACGGTGTTAATGTTCATTTTCACATTTCTCCTTATGTTTCAAGATAAGTTGTCTATTTCAAATGGTTGATGTAATTGCTGTAACTATTTAATAATTTATATTACTGATTCTGATGAACAAAATTAAATCACAAAGTATAATTTACCTTAATGTACATCCACTGTAAACATCTTCACCGAATCTAATAGGTTCTACTAAAAGACCTCTTCCTTGTAAAACTGTTCCACATGGACCACCAGAAAGGATATTCCAAACTCCATTATTTAATTGCTGTTTTACACCTTTAATAGACAATTTCATATTTGATGTAGGTATCATGGTGGTTACGGAACCAGTATTTCCCAAATATCCAAGAGATGACAAAGCAGTTATGTTTATTTTGGCGCCTATCACTGGACGACCAATCAGGTAGCCAGGATTTCCACTCATTGGCAAATCATTGGATGCATTTGTCTACAAGTAATCATAAAATATTCAAGTTATTTGAATTACTGTCGTTAAACAAAAAATGACTCCTTACTTTAAAGTAAATTGTTTATTCTTAGAATCGCATCATAAATATTTTATGCTGAATATTATGAAAAAAGTGCTAAGAAACCGTTTATCCAAAATTTACATTTGTATTCACAAATTACTTCATTCATGTTAGAAATCAGTTGTTTATTATCACAATTTTTGCTTAATCCAAGTTTTCCCTAGTTTTTACCTGCTGTCCATCATTAGACCGGAGATAGAGAAAGAACTCTTAAATCAAAAAAAATTTGAATCATCGTGGTTGTAGTCGATTATATGGATGAAGGTTTTGTTCAGTATACTTTGTAAGTCACGTATAGAATAGATATTTTATCACAATGTTGAATACAGTTTCACAAGTTATTTAAAATATGATTTTAAAAACCATGAAACTAACTTGGACAAATTCAACTTCATATTTTTGTGTAAATGTTCCCATTACATCACCAATGGTTGCTTGAATTTCAAATTGGCTAACTGTACCAGTTACTTCATATGTTATTTTTAAATAAACCTTTAGATGAAAATAAAAAAAACTTAGCTGATTAGTTCATGATATATTTCATACTTTATACTGATGTCACATGAGAATGTCCTCCCATGATTAGACACAAAAACTTTAGAAGTAATAGAATACACAAATAGTTAGCATTTAACAATTTAAGCCACTGCATGAAGTTTCACTAATATAATCCATCTCCACAAATGAGAATTCAGCCTCACCAATCACCTAGTTGACTTCATTATTGAGACATGATTTGTTTACTTTGAATCAAGTTCCGTGAATTTACAGTGAGAAATCGTGATCTGCGTGGTTGTATCAGTAGTTACGTAAACCCCAACTAATAACAACAGATGATTCTTAGAAGTTGTATTAAGAAAAGTCTGGGTTTTAAATATTTCAAGCATTTAACCCGAACTCAGTAATTTAGAGGTTCCTCGCAAATCAAAACGTTAATAAAGTAAGCGGATGATTAGGTTTCCGGTGGTCGCCACTATAAAGTCTCAGACCAACACGATGTATTTCTTCATCGTTGTTCGGTTTTCACTGATGTTCTAAATATTGTTATTATGCAATGAAGATGATCTACTAATATATATACAATTAATAAATTACTTTCTATAAACTGAAATGCTTGATCAAATGTACATACAGTGTCGTATACACTGTGCAGTAATGCAGGTGGAACTTCGAGCAGAGACGGCTGGTATATTTTTCCACATAAAACGACGTAAATGCAAAATCAGAAAGAAAATAAATCCACTTTTCAAGGAAACATGGTATGTAACCCTTTTTTCTATAATGGTGTTGAACAACAAGGTCTTTCACCAAGAAATTTTTCAAACCTTTAGTGGTGTATTCGAGTGATGCATAGTAAGTAGCTCATTTACGACAATGACGAAACGAATATTCTGAATACAGTTAAGTATTTTAAATCATAATTAGCTTTGTTATCAAGGTATGTTACCCCACACTATGTAATAAATATTTTTTGGTGAATTGTATGTAGTCAGCTAAAGAAACTCGAAAGGATACTTAAAAATGATACTACGTAAATTAGAAGAATTCAGAATAGCGAGCACAATTTCTGTTACGTTAATAATTCTACTTGCTAAAGATAAGAGTAGCAGATAGTTTCACTTTTCTCTCATAATATAATTAAAAAAAGAACACTGATGATTCCGTTCAAATTTAATCTAACTCCACTGTTCCTTGTGCGGAAAAAATGAAAATCAGATTTTAGAATATTGAAGATAAACTAAATGAATAATCACCTCACATATTTCTCCATCGCTATTCAAGCTTCATGAACCTTATGTCTATCATTATGTTTGAATAAATCGGTATTTATCTCTGCTCTTATTTATTGAAACCTGATATGTTTGTTGACATGTATTTTGGCACATTGTGTGGGCTATTAGCTGGTGTGGTGAAATTTTATTTTCTCAAAACTTTGATTCATTCTGGAATATTGGAGTGATCAATCCTTTTTTCTACTTTAATTATAAATTAGTTATAAATAAATATGAAGTGTTCTGTTTTAGCTAAATAATAGTCTTTTGCCTTCACATGCCAGGTGTTTGCCGTGCGACTCTGACAGCTCATTGAGACAATGAGTTACAGGGTATAACAACTGCCTTCATTATAGGATCTTGTTGTTTGATGCAATCCAGTCGTACTTTGCATAAAACCAGTTTGTTGTGCTTAGTTGAGTATTTTTGAAATTAAGGTTTAGGTCAAGTATATTTTTCAATTTTTAGTTGTTACTTACATGTAACTAGCTATTATTTGTTCTAATTCAGTTAATCTTCTCAACTAGTATAATTGGTCTCATTTTACTCCTCATTTCTAGACAAAAATCTTACCGATCGCAGATTTACTCAATTCAATCAAGCTAACATGTGCTACATTCTGACCAATAATCCAATCAATCTTTTTTTCAATGATTACGGAAAAATGCTCTATCTGAATTCCCTTTCAAATGTACCTCAAATAGGATTTATTTCTTAATTATGTCACTTACAAACATGGAAATAATCAAACAGAGCTAGAATCTACTATTTGTTTCAAAATCGAAGTTGTTTTGATGACGTAATAGTTCAAATCAATATTAAACAATCGGTAATTGAAATTCTGATTCATTCACCGTGAATAAAATGTAAAGCAATTACAGTATGTTAACTGTCAAGGAAAAACAAACAACTAAAAAACTTTATTACCGATACTGGTACACCTGAGCAAATAGTTTCATTTGAATTATTTACAATAATATTTGGTACTGTAGTTGGACATGAAATCGGTGAATTAGTAGATTGTTTGTAACAAACAACAGTAGGTGCAATCTCATCATAATTGGTTTCATTTAATTTCATAGTTTTTAGCATTTTAGAATTCTTGACTGACAGAAACACATCACCCAAACGGTTACATTTAACATTAGTTCTTCTAAAATTATTTGTCCCATCAATTTCTTCTACACTCCAATCACAATAACTGACAAATGACTGAGCAAAGCCTGTAATTAAAATGTGTGATAAAACATTTTTCGAATTAATAAATGGCAATAATATATACTTTAAGAGATAGTCGGTGAAAGCAAAATGTTTTAAATCAAATATATATTTTTTTGTGTTGAGTGAAACTCCATGTAACTAAAGATAATTAATTTTTAAACACGTTTAATGGAAAAAAGTAGCTGTGAACTTGTTGGGGATGTTAGATCCCCAGAACTCGCTTGATAAATATCTTTATTCTGGATTGATTTCATGGACCGATCAGTTGACCTTGAGATCACATTTCCCATCAGGAAAATCCTTGGCTGTGATTGGTTACTGTGTCATTTTAGTGTTCTATTTTTGTGACTGTCCCAAGGACGTCTCTATTGAGTATAAATAAAAGCATTTTGAGTGCTTGGATTCATTGTGTGCTGGCTGGGTGTTTGTAGAATACACTTTCTACGCTATATCAAGACTTCTCGCTGATTCGATTTGGTCAAGGGATTACAGTAGCCTACCTGGACGCTGGTTCATTGTTTTGTTCTCGTTATTCGACTAAGGTGAACTCGTAATAGTTTAAGCATACCGAGAGACGAGCGTAACAGAACTTTTGGGAATTAATTTCAATAAAACACTGATAACGTATAAATAAGACATCTGAATTAAAGTGAAGTAAAACTAACTGGGTGTGGAACAGTTATGTATGCAAACGAAACTATTTTTTATATAACAGATATATTTCCTGATTGTGACTGATCAGTGACTAAAAAATAATAAAAGACCGAGATATGAAGATCGAACTTGAATGTCATGAACCGAAACCAATCTATAAACTATTAACATTTCTAAGGTCTCTAGGAAGTCATCTTAAGAATGAATTAAATTGGTCTTGTTAATCCTTTTTTCGCATATGCATTTTCATTTTACTTTTGACAGAATATTCTCTAAAACGAAGTCAACATTAAGTAGTTTATTTATTTTATTTGTATAAATATGTGGTATTATTAGGGATCAAAAATAGTCTGTGCCACACAAACAGAGCAGTAACGTTGTGAAGAAATAGAAGGAGAAATGAGAGTACAATAAAAACTAAAGTATTAAGGGAACAAAAGTATTGTCTAGTAGCTAAAAAAATAAAAGTAAAACCAAGAAAGACCATTTTTAGTTAATGTTAAATAACCTTACAACATTATCAACACTGAATTTTAATTCTGAGCCACAACTGATATTGTTTGTGTGGTCTTGACCTGGGAATCGCAATGGACCAATATATATCAGTTGGATACAACTTTCTTTCATACCGCAACACAATACTGCAAGCAGACCACTTTTCTGTTTTTCCCGCCTAATCCTGGCGTCCGCAAATAATGAAAATGTGCAAAACGCTCGGATAACGTTTGTAACACATGTCTCAGTTACCGATATCAACATTTCAAGAGAGTGGCATCGATTAAATTATCGTTACTATGCCACACACTGCCGAGCCTCAGCTTTATTAACACAGTATTTTCACCGGTAAGAACGACAACTGAAAGCCATAAGTCATTGAATATTCTCAACTCAGAGTCTAAGTTTCGAATACATTATTAACCCGATCTTTTATAGTCAAAATAACGTTCGGATTGTGTCAAAGTTAATCCTAATTGGCATATGGAATTCTGATTTTTGCTTCACATAGATTGATCTAACATGTCGCGCCAACACCAGCGCCTTAGAAGCATTTATTTACACGAAATTTTTGGCTAGTTTTATAAGACCATGCGGTGTCCAATTTCGGCGTCGGGATCACCAGATTTGTGGTGGCCGATTTCGAACGTGTTCTTAATCTTCGTGATTAGCTCGCCCAGACTGTCGTTACTAACTAGCGTCTGACGGTTTATAAATCAGAAGGTGAACTCGTAGTGTTGAATACGTTTATTTGGGACACACCACAAAGCGAATCGGAGAAGCAGCGAATAAAACGAATGAAGCGCCGTGAAGTGGAGAAGGCTGTTGAGCCAACTCCTAGGATTACAATGCGAACGAATGGGCGAAAGGAGCGATGTGGAGAAGGCTAATGAGCCAACCCAAAGAGAGAGCGTGACTAAGAATATGTAGTCAGACAAATATAAGACAGACAGACATGCGACAAGCGAAATAGGCACACATGAATAAAAGCGACGAATAGTTAACAAGGTCAAATGACAAGTGGAACACTTTATGTGAGCTCATACAAACCAAACAATAATAAGAAAGAATGGTACATATAAATTGTTGTAATACAAATGGCTTGGTTAAATAAATTAATCGAAAGGGCTTAGCCAAATTAAATGTAAGTGAACTGGAATATATGTAGAGGCACTACAACCACATATGGAATAAGTTCCAAAATATGAAATTTAGAACACAGAAAATGAATGCTTCGGCCCTAGCAGGAGAAATTTCAAGCTACACCAGTCAGACAGCCTGAAATCTGCCAAAATATTTCATAGAATCAACCAGCGATCTCATGAACTAAAGCCACCTCTTGTTTTGACCTATTTTATTAAGTTCACTACTATAAGAAAAGTATTTCACAAAGTAAGCCTGCAACTAGTGTTGTTTACGAGTGTTTTCCGAATATTGGTAAAACGTAATTTTTCCTCATTCTAATCACTTCCATGATTAGATAACTAAGAGCCGTCCGATCATTGAATAAACTCTCGTTGATGCCGCTTCAAAAGCCGAATGTTTTCGGCTTTGAATTTCATGCGACGCGAAAGTTGCACTATAAAAGCCAAATTTACTAATTAGAAAAGAGCTTAGCAGCTCACTGTGCAGCATTAATTATCCCACAGTATTCCTTTCATCGGTTTTATGGTGTATATGTAGTTAGAAGAGAGTATATTCAAATAAAATGTTGAAAAAGAACCCAGACATCATTTATAAATTGCCAAGAATGATATAATTAGTTCGAATTTCTGATTAATTGGTAGCTGATATCACAATGTTTGACTTCTTTCTGTAACAAAATATAGGGAGGTTTTGATCATTCATGGAGTGATTGCCACTTACGAAGTAGCAGAATAGTACATGTAACGTCAAGCAATCGACCACGATAGTCAGTAGGGCAAAGGAAACTTGTGTAATAAACTACCTATCATGATTAAGTTAATGTTTGAACGACCTGGAAAGAGTTAAGTATATTTTAGCAAGTAAATACAAGGAATTACAGAACATCTTAGTCAATTAATCAGGAGTAACGTTGAACTTCGTACGCACGCACATCAGTTAATGTTGCCATGACACATTAGCGCAGAGATGCGATTATCACATAAAATCCCATGGTGGTAGTGATATTAGAATTATTAGCAGTAATGGAGAAGATTAGGGTTCGAACATATTATTCAAGAAGTATGATTCAGTGGAAAGAATTTAAAGCGAAAGATAGAAGTAATGAGGAATCCAGGTTGCACTTTTAGAGAACACAAATGACTGATGCACCTGCGCCATTCAAGGTTTCTAACCATCTATTACTATCATCTCGCGGACTCCAACCAAGTAGTCTACACTTACAAACATGAATCAGTTCACTTGTGATTAACTTCATGGAATTTCGCCATATTTTGATTCGGCCACCACCAGTTTTCTTCCAGCCTACTCTTACACCACAAAAAATCTCTTGTCCACGGTCGGGCATTCGTAACATAGGTCCCAACCACTTGAACTGATGAAATTTCAATACTTCATCTATTGATCATTCATCCTTACCTAGTACTCGCTTCCTAACAACAGGATTGCTTACTCGGTTGTTCCAGGACACACTAGCAATTCCTTCCTCTACGACATCTATAATCGAATACTAATAACCCACGAATATCCTCAAATCTTACCGGCCATGTTTCACAGTCATAAAGTAGGACGGAGCGATTAATTGTGCACTACAATCGTCCTTTGGTTATCGAACGGATATCTCACTTACTTCATAGGTGACGCCGGTTGGCAAAAGCCAATCGAGCCTTCTGTATCCATGTTCAGGTTTCATCAGTCATCAGGCCATCAGCACTGATGAGACTCAAGATAAGTCAAGCTATCAGCACGCTCAGCTACTTCACTACCTACCACTAGTTCATGTGCCGATGCAACACAATCTTGAAGCAACATTTTGCATTTCGAGGGGGAAAACCGCATCTCGAACATGCTTGCATTGTTGCTTAGGGTGGTCAGAAGACTCTGCATTCTGTCAGCGTCTTCACCAAGTAGGACTATGTCATCGGTATATTGTAAGTCAACAATCGAGCCTCCTGGTAGAAGGTCTACTCCTGAAAATTTAGACGAAGATAATGTTATATCTAGCCGCATGTCTAAGACAAAATTGAACAAGAATGGAGAGAGTGGACATCCCTGACGGACACCATTCGAAGTAAAGAATTACGATGACAGTTCGCTGTAAGCTCTCACTCGACCAGTAGTGTTCTAGTGGAGAGCTTGTGTAAAGTTAATGTACTCCTTTGGTACACCTTTTAGTGACAAACTCTGTCAGAGAACCACATGGCCGATAGAGTCAAATACCGCTTTAAACACAACATCTTATGCTTTAATATTTTCAGTGTGACTCTTAAAATCCCAAAACAAATGGACTAGTCTTAAAAACTTCATCTTGCACATATAACTGATGAGAAGTTTATGATCGATTGTCAGTTATAGATGACTGTAAAACAAAGTAATTGTTTTTAGGAATAAAAATCTAAATTATTGCGGATGGTAATGACCAGTATAAAACAACAATATCGTAACATAGCAGGCTGAGGAAGATATATTTCAGTGGCTGCATCGACCTCAAAGTAGGGCTCACCATTTTAGTTGCCCGTGATCTGACTCCTTTATTTATGAACGTTTGAGTAGGCTGTAAAATAAATCTTCCCTTCAGTTTTCATATATCAAACTTAGGCGAACCCCGTTTGTGCCGCAGCGGTAGTGAGGAGCCAAATATGGATTCGGTTTGATGGGTTTATTTTGAGTAATCGTTCATGCCTTTGTTTGAGCAGGCAGACGAGAATGAAAGGCATAAAATAAAAGTGAAGCAAAGCAGAGAAGGCAAGCAAACCAACTCATTGTAATGAAGTATGACTAAGCATTATAGTCAGATGAAAATAAGTCAGACATGAGATAAGCGAAGTAAGCCTGCACACATACTCGAATAAAAACAGCCAAGATAATGGTAAATAGTTGGCAAGGTAGTAGGACGTGTCAATAATAACTCGGGCGGTATGGATTAGTCAAATTGTCTGAAGTTTTAGGACAAGCTCGACGTGGTTTCTCAATGATCTGAGAGACGCCGCACAATGTCGCTCTGTCAGTATCTGACACATTCAAATACATTTTAATGGCGTAAAATTTAAAAAATGTAGTAATAAGTGGAGTAAACTATGATTAAGAGTGTCAGTAAATAGGAAGCAAAAAGGCCAAAAAATTAGTAGGACTAAAATATTATAAAATTAAACATTTCGATCAACAAAAGATGTCCTAAGTTATCCTAACCTTATCTAACTCATCATACAACTAGGCACAGTACTTAATAGCACGAACCGCTCCTAACTTAGCACTAATGACGACTCAGATAACTTGAAGCAGTCAGGCCAAAACTCACGGGAGACAAAATTTACTTAAGAACACAACGATAAACACCAAGTTTACAGCTTAGAATGAAGAAGGTATGAATTTGAGTCTCTCTTTATTCTTGAGCATTTAGACACACGTTCAACCTATAATTGCCGTTTTTAGGGGTCCAAACAAGCTTTGTATTACATCACTAACAATAAAGATCGGAAAGATAGATCTCACGAGAGACTGTAGTGATTTACCTTAATGCTCTTCTGTAGTAAGGTTTCATTCTGATTCAAGCCATGCTAGATACATAGTCACTACGAGTATTTTTAGGATTTGACATCCACCACGCCCGCAACATTTTCACTTGCATTTGAAGTAGTTGGTAGCCTGTTTGCCTCACTGAATGCATCTAAAGCCGATTTCTTAGTGGTAATATTCACTTATTTTGTTGGTGCACTAAACCTTAAGCACACACATTGCGAAACACTGGGAAACCTACATTGACAAAAATTTATGCCACAAAATAATCAGCTATATGTTTATGCCCCTTTAATAGCGAGAGTATATTGTTCCTGTATTATTTCCGAGGTTGAATGTCTTTTCGGAGATCTTTTTTCGTAGGGTTGTTTAATGATGCAAATGATACCAGCAGCGAACACCCAGGAAGACAAATCTCCAAACGGAACCGACGTCTATCAAGCAGATAAACTAATATGATAAAAAAAATCTGACCATTATGAAAATTCTGATCACAGTTTAGGTGGCGTGACAGTCATATAAACATAGATTTGGGACAGTGTGTAACAATTTATCAAAAAACTCACCCACAAGAAGCATTTCACATGAACCTTGATTTATTTGAGGAAACGTCAGAGGCACAACCCCACCGATTCCATAGCTTATTCGTGTTGGAGAACCTACCTAAGTTCGTCAATTGGGACTTCTAGACCTTGAAGTAATTATTTTAGCTTACCAAATAGGGGCCTAAATCATCTGAATCACTTGGAATGTTTTTTGCTTCAACAGAACTTTCCAGTGGGTAATCGGCATTTTCTAGATTGCAAATGTATTTTATGGTGAGTTTACTTACTGTTTGTGGAGTAAACGCACAGTGGATGGTCAAAACCATCTGAGACCATGTGCTTGCAGAATTGTAATGGACCTCTAAATATATATATAATCTTAATATATGCTTATACTTTGGAGGGTTTTCTCCACAATTTATAAACAGTTGGAGCAACTGAGGCGTACAGTCACTGTCACAGCAACATTCACTCTCACAATGGTTTTCGATTATGTCACAACGGCATGGAAAGTCTTAGAGAATGTTTCATTACGCTTCATGATATTTTGCATACCTTCGCTACGCAAAATTGTTGACAGTGATAATAATATTATCAGCTTGAATATCATGTCCTAAATATTAGTATTAGGCGGATTTTGGCCTATTATAAGCGTGTATCGAATTTTAGGGTAAGTTACTGTTTTGCGAAGAACGGTATGTTGTGGAATCCGAAAGTCAAAGGAACAGGAGAGAAATCTACCCAACGAATCTGTAAGTGAATGCAATTTACCTAGATTTATTAGTTAATATCAGAAGCGTGGTATTAAAACAATCTGACTATTAAAAATAGTTAGCTGTGACTTCAGCCTTTGGTCAGTTCGCGTTTAGTCAGAAGGTATATCGTGAAGAGGGGGTATCTGTGGAGCAGCGTCCGAGATTATCTGGAGGAGGAAAGAACAGAAGAAACATTTGAGCTGACGCTTCAGTAAGCACACAGAATGCTCTAAAATTTATTAAAAATCGGTAAATATAAATAAAGAATAAAGACCAGTCGTTAGATAATGGTTTCGGAGGCGTTACATAGAGAGGTTTTGAAATTGTTACTGTGATGTTTACATGTTTAAGACATGACAACGTAAAAAAATACTTCAACAAAACAAATTACATAGTTCATCTAATATATAGGCGTTTAGATACCATAAGATGGTAGCCTTCTTGAACTGTTTATAGGTTTCAAGTATTGGTATCGGTTCCTAAGCGAAAGCAATTATATTGTAAGAAGTAAATCTTAACGCATCGTAATTCGAATTTCTGAGTATTAGATATTTGTGACCCCATCTGACCATTATTCGATTGAATATCCAGCATTTTAAAAAGTTCTTCCGCATATTCAATAGACGATTACTGTTTAGAGAATTGAATTTTTTCTTAGGTTACATTCTGACAAAAGCACTAATAGTTAGTGAGGAAGAAAATTAAGAATTCATTTAAGCATTCCCGACGCTTGACTGCAGACTCTAATAGAATTGATCTTCAACTTCTTCATCGTAATCGTTGGTAGGAGCGCAGCATTGATGATGTTTATTGTAATTCCATCTTTCGCTGTTTTGAAGGATGCTTTAGTGATCCTTGCTCCATGAGATTTCTATCATTTCAGTGCTTTTTGTGCTTGTTTGAGTTCCATGAGTGCAACTCCTTAGGTGTGTGGAGCGTTTTCTTCTTCACGGTGGGAGTGTAACTGCGGTTCTAATGAAGCTAGTTTTTTTAGTCAAACCTGTAGGCGTAGTTAATTACGGTATACATAAAACATATAATGTATAATATATATGGTAATATTAATAGCATAAATATCAAAGACTGATTCTCATACCAAAGCGTTTGTACAAATATATTGGATTTCTAGGACTGAGTTAACTCGCCCCGTCCAACTATCAGCTATTTACTCACTTGTCTCTTGAGTCATCTAATGGTCAACAAAGAAGAATGTGTCAAAAAAACGAATGAAATGAGTCATTTTGAATCGCTCCACAATGTTTATAAATTAATCAAGTAAAATGGAACGAAAATCATGAAATTCAAGTGCTTGAATTGATTAAGTCTCCCAGGTTCACTGCAATCTTCAGTCTTATATGCTAACCTAACGATTCGCTCATCATTAGCCTGTATTAATTACCGAGGAGTTTAACGTCCCTCATGAAGCCAGTTGTTGTCAATATTATAGGTGTTTAAATCACATCAGTTATGACATTAGTGGAAGTCATCATTTAGATTTGGTGAACACTAAAGTTAGTTCACAAGGTCAGAAATGGACTTATGGTTCAAAGCTTGACCCAACACATTGAAGGGCGGTTGTTAGGGTAAAATTTATCCTTTTCTCTGATTCCAAACTACTAAAACACATACGCTTAGTTGTAATAGGTGATTGCTGATGGTTCTTTGGCTTGTAAGTGTCGTTGTACCTCACTGAATATAGACGTTAATACAATCGAAGTGATATTCTTTTACGGTTTAAAGTGATTAGTGTGAATAGGATAGTTCCTGGCGGAAACAAAGTTTATAAATACTCTAACTGTACAGCCTTGTACAGTAAACATAGTAGTATTAGTAACTATTTGATGTAGCTTGTCAACTCGCATGCTTCTCTTACCACGCTGTTATTTGAGAATAAGTGTATTATTATTTTACGAGATTGCTAAGTCGTAACAATATTTTATGGTGATGTCGAGAAGCCATTATTAATGCCTGCTTATAGTTAGAACTAGGAATTCTCTAGTGGAAAATAAAGTGTGGTTTTAGATGCTCAGTACTTTGATAATTCTGAATACTTCCATGTCTAATGATTCGGAGATATTAATTTTAAGCAATTTGAAAAACGCTAGTATGTTATCGTATGAAACCATCAGATATATGTTATCCTAAAAATGAGTTGGAGCATGTTTCGCCCTAATAAAATATGTATGACTAGTGCAAATGGATCTGTAATATTCTACGCTACAGTGTATCATAAACGAAGTAGATCATCAAGAGAAGTAATTAAACTTGACTGGATTATTTTCGCGATTCTCCATGATACCACAAGTCCATTTATTTGGTTGTAAACTGTGTGTCTATTAGGACTTTGTTTGATGCTTCTGTACAGACTTATCACTATTTTCTCCCAGGAAAAAAACACGAATCTCTCGTGCTTACCCCTCACAAGTCATACACATTTGTCGAAGATTCTTTGTACATTTCTATCTTATTCCATTGTACTGCTTGAGATTTACAGTTTCATCGTAGTTTTCAGGGGCCAGTAACTTATGTACTTAGTATCAAAAACTAATATAATTCCCATAACTAAAAAGTAAAAAACTTTCAGTAGGAGTTGGTGAAGTAGAGCTTACGTCCCGTATATTTTGAAAAAATTGAAACAGTACTTGAAGAAAGAAACTGTGTTAATTTTGTAACAATGAAATACTGAATTATTCTACGCCCGTTACCCTTAGTAAAGCATAGGCCACCGAACCGTAATCTCCAGCCTACTCTGTCCTCAACCTTCCTTTCTAATTCTGTCCAACAGTTCTTAAATTTTCACACATCTCTCTACGCTTCAGTCTGTTGAAAATACCATCGTAAAAGAGTGCAGACTGTCCCACTTTTGGCGTGTAGCACGCACGCTACATAAAGTTCACACCAAATTTTCCTGTCCCGTTCTTCAATTTAGTAGTATCATGGGTGTAAATGGATTTTCTACCGTAGCAGTTCAAATGGTTTCCAGTAAGTGCAATCCGAACGCGTATCTCCTAGTCCAATGTCCAAAAAAACACAACAATTCTAGGAGAAAACGGTCTATATTATATTAAAAGATGGAAATACAAAGCAATACCTGAAGTTGATGCACTTTCCAAGTCACAATTACTCCGAGGAGTATCCAAGGTAAAGGGGATAAGTCCAACCGCCACAGTATCAATCCAAATATGGCTGTGGCCATATTAATTATCAAATTTAAACAACATATACACAGTTCAGAAGCAAACATAAAAACTTCAATATAAGTACAAAATATAGAAATAATAACAATATGCAATGATAAAATCTCAAATTGGAATCAAATAAAATACCAAAAATGTCAACAGAAAGAGTCCGTCATGTCATAACAAAAATATCTAAACATGGAGGGATTTTCCGAAAAACAAAACATTCAAAAAAGATTCTACAATGGGAGCTGATCACTTCACTAATAACCAGTCTCTACTTAAACACATTCCACTGTTTAAGAAGATTAGAATTATCAGTGAGAATCACCAGTAGCCTATCAGCTGAACAGACCGATTCGTACACTATTAACAGTTACAATCACGACCATTACATTTACTCCACCCCCATCCCTTCCAAAACCGAGAACAGATCCAATGAGACTACTAGTCGGTGGTTCCGTTCCATAAATAAAAGAACGGCAACTTGTATTGAGTTCAAATGCAGTCTACCTGTACACCACAAGTCAGTCGCACCTCTGAAATACGCCGACGTTTTCCTGAAGATTACAGGAAAGACCATGTGGTTCGACATAACAGAAACTCATAAAGTACTTAGGCTACCTAGTAAGCGACAAAGCATGCCCACCACCACATCTACTCAGGACGTTACTAAACTTCGAAAAGTAAACCCAAGAACTCCTAAGAATAAGGACTCACACACCACAAATACCCCCATAAACCCAGACTTTAGGCACCTGCCCATTTCTAACCCAAGGCCTAAGATCCCTTGATTACGCACAAAAAGGCTCATATGATTTTGAGATGGTGGAGAAAACTTGTAGCTCAGGTGGATGATTCTGGTGGTGTTTTGTTCTCTGAGCTCAGAGAACAACGGTTTCGGCTTCAATGGTTAAAATGATTCCTCTGGTTGGCGTATTATAAGCAAGGTTTATTTCATGAGACCAGGTTGCCAATCACATGAATAACCCTCATTTATTGAGGATTGCGACCGACAGTGTAAACAGTTAAAACTCAGAAATCTTCTATACTATGTTTTCGATTGGATTTATTTCTTTTCAAATGGTGAACGAGTTAATGACGAATTCAAATCACAGGTTGAGTTTCGTAAACTCGATACTTTGTTAGGCCAAATATAGTCAGGTGGAGCTACCTTGATGACAACGCACTATCTTCATCCTCCTGTTTATGGTTACTAACTTATCTCCGCCTGTTACCCAGGATGGAGCAAAGGCCGTGGACCAGCATTTCACCATCTCCGACCTCCTCTCCACTTTCCGGTTGTCCCAAGCTGCCAGTTATTCTATTAATGTGAGTCTCCGATTATCAGCGCAGGGCGTTCCTTGATCTACAAAATTTCTTCAACCTTCAGTGTTCCAAGTAAGGTATTCTATCGTCAGGTAGTTAGGTGCTTTGAGCACCAGATGTCCTTCAATTTTAGAAATTCTGCTCTTGCTTTTCCAAACTGCGCCTTCACATTTGAATCAGATCAACCTTGTTTGTGAGTAATACTGACCAGGTATGTGGAGGTTCCCACATTATCCAGAATTTGTCCGTTAAGTGTGATTCGGTTGATGCATGTTGTGATGTGTCGGAGGTTCTTACTCTTTCCCTTCTCTATGTTGGGACCCACTACTGCATTACTGCTCGTCTTCTGCTGCATTTGTTGACGAGTGTGAGATAAAAGAGCCAGATCGTCTAGCTGCGTCCCAGCTGTTCACTGTACACCGTGATACTCTCCAGATACTGATGTCCTGATAATCCAGTGGAACACCAGGAAAAATAAATAAGGAGATAGTAGGCAGCCTTGTCTGACGACGATCTTTACTCGGAAGGACTCTGCATTTTTCGATGTTTAATTTTGTACGCATTCATTATAAACAATACTTTTATTCTGACTGATCATCTCAACTCAATGTCTACATGGACTAAGACTATCTAGCGCACAATTTTAAAGAACAAATAAACGGTCAGTAAATCAGCTACAACATCAATTCAGGTTGCCATACCACATTGATACAGAGACGCGTTTGTCGATCCAAATCTCGTGGTAGTGGATGTAGTAGGAGTATTAGTAGTAATCAGAAAGATTACGGTCCGAAGTTACTATTCAAAATGTAGTATGTCATTTACAACGTGAGACTCCGTACGTGAGTACATAAGTTAAGGTTGCCATACCACATCAGCACAGAGATGTATGTGTCAGGTCGAATCCCATAGTGGTAGCGATAGTAGAATTATTAGCAGTAATGGAGAAGATTAGTGTTCGAAGATATGATTCGAGAAGTATAATTCAGTGAGATAACTTAAGAAAGAGAAAGGAGATAATGAGGAATTGAGAAGATTAGAATTGGAGAGAACACAATGAATGAATGGACCTGCACCATTCCAAAAGATTCCAAACCATGTCGTTCACTATCATCTCGCTGACCCCAACCAGGTAATCGACAACAACCGACATGACTCAATCCACTTGTCAATTCCTCCATGGATTTGTGCCATGTTTTGTTTTGGCCACCCCTAGCTTTCTTCCAATCTAATCTTACACCACAAAACGTAGCTCGTCGAGGCAGTCGCTGTTTAGATAGAAGCAACAAATTTCCCAACAATCTCATCTGATGGAGTTTCATTACTTCATCATTTGACACCGCGACACCATAAGATCCACCTAGGTGTCGCTCACTTTCGCCTAGTCTACCTTCTTGCGCATTGAAGTCATCAGACACGAATACTATATCAGAGCGCCTAATGTTTTCGAGGATTTCACTCTTCCGAGCTGCAGTCAGTATGAGCATAGGGAGGTACGATAAAGAGGCAACGGCGAGTGTCCCTATCTTTCCCAATCCGTACTTTCCCGTTCAGTAGGGCAGCGTATAGGCGACTATCTGCTGGGATCAAGTCTAAGAGGGATCAGTTAACTCAAACGTGTCGGGAGTTTCAGGGCTTCAGAAGGCTCAAGCATGTATGGATTTCCATTGGTGCCCATGGACAAAATCTAAAATCGGGAAACAAGGAAACAGCAATCATGAACAATCGAATACGATAAGGGGATGTCAAGGAGGGACGGCAAAATAATGAAACAACAATATTTCTATGAATTCGTTTTTGAGGTGTTTCTTCTGTCTCGACCTTATCAGTACCATTATGTTTTACTTACTATCCGTCTGTTCTCAAACATCGTACATTGTCACTGGAGTTTAGATTATCGCATAGCAACCTGGCTTCATAGAATAACAAGGTCAAAATAAACTTAAGAGCGCAATTATGTTGGAGTTAAGATCATAACCTCTCTTGGCGAACTTATTTTGTTACTAAATAAACAGTCGTACTCCAATATACTTAACTGGTCATATTGTGATTCTCAAAGTAATAGGATTTTACGTTAAAACCGTTTCATTGTCTACCATGATCTGTCCTGCAGGGAGTACTACTTAAAATTAAAGCTGATATAATGTATATAATTAATGTGAATTATATTTTCTGGTGATGTTTCTCGGTGCTACGACAAACTTTCAGTCTATCATATTAAGGTTAATTAATCAATCGAGAAGTGTTAACCTGAAAAGAAGAATTTGATGCTTTTTGAATCCAAAGAGTATTCTCTTAAACAGTTTTTAGGTTTCCTTATCCCTTTTCAAATTTGGAAATAAATTGAATTCCCGAGACATACAAACTCACAACCAACTGCCAACTGACTAGAATTAGACAGTCGAGTGGCTAGACCTCCATCCATTGGACATTACCGAAAACCTGGAACCGTACCGAAAGAACAAGAATCGAGCGCGAAGAAATCAAATTGGTTTACACTAGCTCGTGAAAAAGATATTGGATATTGGATATTGGATGGTTGTTTTACTGTATGGATTGAATGCTATATAACTTGCTTGGCGTAACAGTAAGTCACGTAGTCTGTTTGGGTATGATTTGGCTTGGATTTCTGTACGATTTTCGCCTCATTCCGTTACGATAGTACAAGTATGTTTGGGCATTTGCCAGAGGGAGTTCTTGATTATACTGGTAAGTATATTCCAGTCTAGCTTCTGCTCGAGCTTATTTCTCCCCTTAAATACTAATATTGTTGATATAATAAAGCACAAAATAGGGCTTTTCACCATTGTGTCCCACATGGGCTCCGGAATTTCGGTTTGAATTTCACGGCTTTGTTTCTTGGGTTGAATATTTGGGTTGTGTAAATGAATCTACCGTACATTTAATTTCTGACAAATTTGTTTGCTTTGATGAATATAGATTGGCTGTTGTTGCTGAAGTCAGGTTAGATAACTGAGATCTCGTTCATAATTATGATATATACAAAGTGTTCATCTCACTGCAACGTCACTAACGTCCATTATGTAGGATTTTTAAGGTATGATATGACAATATAACATTATGATAACAGTTCTAAGAACCATATGCAGAATCGCATGTTACTCGGTATTTTTTCATATGGAAAAGTTTATGTTAAAATAGGCTAGGAACAATTACGCAATACATGCTCTTATTCGTTACTTTTTAGGCTGACGTAGTATATGGACGATGGCATATCTTCGAAATGGTGCAGAACTTGCAGCAACCTATCGTTCCAGTTTAAACCAGATGAGTGAACTACGGAAAAAGGTGAAACTGTTTAACCTCAACAATAGTTATTATAATCAAATCGGACTTCTAAAACATGACTGGCTCCCTCACAGTTCTATCATGTGCGAAGCTCTACGTCGACTCCCACGCGAACAACAAGAAGCCAGAGACTTTCGAATAGCACGAGCATCACTTCTCTACGCATCTAAACACATTTTGCCTCAGAATCAGTGGACAACCATTGAAAACGATGTTCCATACTTGCAACCGTACGTTGATGTTGTCGTGAAGGAAATAAGCGACCGATCAAACTGGGATAATTTTATCAACCCAGAAACTTATAGTGAATCAGTATAAACATGTAGTACTTCTGTTAGTTCTAAATTAGCTTAATAAAAGTTTAAAGAAAGTCTTGTTCTCACTGTCTTTTATCGTACCCAAGCTTAACACTTTTTCCCTCGCAGAAAATGTCCATTATATCGATCCACGCCCGTCAAATTTTCGATAGTCGAGGAAATCCCACAGTTGAGGTCGATTTGAAAACATCAAAAGGTATGTTGTCAAAAGTTTTATGAACTCGAATCCTTTTCGTCTACTGAAAAAAACGAAGGAACCATGTTTAACGTTCATGTAAATTCACTGCTCATTTCTTTATGCTTACCCTGATAGTTCTGTGATTTTTTTAAAAACCGTTTATGTATATCCTTATTACTTGCCGGTTAAATGAAATTTTTCGAGGTTGAAATATATAATTTCCCTAGTTAAAACTAGGTAGCCCCACAGTAAATTTTGATTTTATTGAAATTAACTTGAATAGTAATGGATAGGTGCAAATTGAAAAATATTATTTTTGGTTAAGGTCTTTTCCGCGCTGCTGTTCCAAGCGGAGCTTCAACAGGTATCCACGAAGCTCTTGAATTACGCGATACGGATTCAAAGGCTTATATGCGTAAAGGTGTTCAGACAGCGGTTAATAATGTGAATAACATTATTGCTCCAAAACTCATTGCGCAAAAAATCCCGGTCACTGATCAGGCAGCTGTTGATAGATTTATGATCGATCTTGATGGTACTGCGAACAAAGGTAAGTACATTATCTTTCATTTATTTGATCACTTAAACTGGTTGTAAAGGGAGTTATTTCTCATGTGACTTGACTCTTCGTATCATTAGTTTTAACGTTAGGTGGTGACACTGGCTAGTAAAGTGTTGTTGGTACTCGATTTGATATTGACCAATTTGGTCTCGTGTGCTGATACGGGTATGTGGGCGGTTGTCAATTCCCTGCTGCCCTCACCTTGGAAGGGTGCTTCTTGAGGGACCTGGATAAGAACGTCTACATTGCCGGTCCTGTGAGCGTGACCGCAGTGCCCGAAGAATAACTACTTGGGGCCGGTCACGCACGGTCTTTTTATGAAAGGTTTTTTGAGTATTAGCTCCGCTCTTTCGAAGCCCTTATTGGGCAGCCCTAACCCCTAGAGACGGAAATCTGTCAGGTATGGTGAGGTGTGACATTTTTAGGGCTAACCCTTTCTTCGTTGTAAAAGGCAGCATCGCTGTAGATGCTGGTTGCCCGGGGGAAACATTGGTTACTTCAAGTGTTGTTCGTCAGGGCTGCCCACTCTATCCATTCTTGTTTAACTTTGTCGTAGATATGCTTTTAGAGTTAACATTGTCATAATCTGACTTTCCAGGCGTAGACATTTTTCCAGGAGATTCACTAATTGATTTAGAGTATGCCGATGACATAGTCCTATTCAGTGAAGACGCTGACAAAATGCAATTTCTTCTGAATGCCCTAAGAAACGAATGCAAGCATTTTCGGGATGCGAGTCTCTCCCTCGAAATGCTAAGTGTTGCTTCAAGATTGGCTTGTGTCGGCACCTGAACTAGTGATAAGGAGAGAAGTAGTCGAGCATGTTGACCACTTCGCTTATCTGGGGAGTCTCATCAGTGCTGATGACCTGGTGTGCGACGAAACCTCAGTACGGATACAGTAAGCTCGATTGGCTTTTGCCAAGTTGCGTCAATTATGGCGTAGGCAAGATATCCGTCTGCTAACCAAAGGACTGAGTCATGGTATGCGTAGACTACTTGGTTGGGGTCCGCGGGTTGATAGTAAATGATGGTTAGAGACCTTGAATAACATGTCTCAAAATTGTTTGCAGTGGCGCAGGTGCTTTCGTTATTTGTGTTCTCTCAAATTGTTCTTTCTCTTCCTAAATTTAACTCAAAGTTATACCTCCTTAATAATATATTTGAACCATAATCTTCTCCATTACTGCTAATAATTCTACTATCGCTACCACTATGGGATTCGGATCGACAAATGCGCCTCTGTATCAATGTGGTATAGCAACCTGAATTGATGTGTGTACTTACGAAGTTCTACGTTGTAGCTGATTGACTGACCGTTTATTTGTTCTTTAAAAATTGTGCGCTAGTCAGTCGTAGTCTATGTAGACGTTGAGTTGAGATGAATAGTCAGGATAGAAGTAATGTTTTTAATGAAAGCGCAGAAAATGAAACACTGAAAAATACGGCCAACGTTGTCTGTATTAAACTCTCCTTACTGGGTCATGATTTTTGTGAACAGAATTTTCGAAGCACTGTGTTCAAGATCTTCGGAAAATCCACTTCTGTAATATTTTGCTAAAATTAGTTTTGTTTAGAACAGTTCCTTAACAACTATTCTGTTTCTTTTCGCTTACAACTTGTCTTATGACCAAAGATTTTTTATCTGATAAATGACACTTTGTTTTAGAAAAACTCGGAGCCAATGCTATTTTGGGAGTATCCCTGGCTGTATGCAAAGCTGGTGCAGTGGAAGCCGTAAGTTTTGTTGGGGTTTGGCTCTCTGATCATTACATGAAAACCAAATCTTTGTCAGTTTATTTTACATACCTAATATTTACGTTGTAACAGTAAGCCCACTTAGTTTTGTGCTTCTGCTTATGTTCCTCATAAATTTTACTCATGGTTTCTTGTCTCAGGGTTTACCCCTCTACAGATATATTGCAAGATTAGCTGGCCACGACCATGTCATAATGCCTGTTCCAGCATTCAATGTTATTAATGGTGGAAGTCATGCCGGCAACAAATTAGCCATGCAAGAATTTATGATCCTACCTACTGGAGCCAGCTCTTTCACTGAAGCAATGCAAATCGGTTCTGAGGTCTACCACAATTTAAAGGCTGTTATTAAACGTGAATACGGATTGGATGCATGCAACGTTGGTGACGAAGGTGGTTTTGCACCGAGCATACAGGATAATATGAAAGGTAAGTTTAGTAATTTATCACATCACTTTTGTAGCTTCCCTTGTTCTTTTTTTAGTATAAAATACTTCAGTTACTGTATACTACACGTTATAAAAACGCACTATGCTCAACCTGTCACGTTTCGCAACATATTAAGAACTAACATCCATAGCATAAACATAAATTTAACAGAAGGTAAACGTGAAGTATAATATCCTTTGTTCAAGAACGATCAAACTTGACATTTAATCAACTCTAAGGTCTATCTAGGTAAGATCAATAACTGCCGACTTTATTCATTTCATCTCGCTCATATGAGAGCTTTTTTGTCGCATAGTTAATTGGAACCTGTTCTGCAAAATTGCTTGACTATTTGATGGGATAGTTATAACTAGAAAACTAGTTATTGAATTGACATCAGAATTGTCGAATAAGTAATTTTTCATTGTAGGGAAACAGGGTGCCATTGTTTCTGTTGTTAAAGACAACAGTCAAAACATGACTCTTCGTATGATTACTCGTGTGCTTAGGTAATCCTTATACCTATATCTTTGTAGCTATAGTTTTCATCATTTGTGCTCACAAAGCTGTTATATTTCCAGGTCTTCAACTGCTTGAAGAGGCTATAAAGATTGCTGGATATACAGGAAAAGTGGAGATTGGTATGGATTGTGCTGCCTCTGAGTACTACAAGAATGGAAAGTATGATTTAGATTTCAAGAATCCTCAATCTGCAGAATCTACATGGCTGAGCCCTGACGCAATGGCTAATGTGTACAAGGAAATGATTAGCAAATATCCAATTGTGAGCATTGAGGATCCATTTGATCAAGATGATTGGGAAACCTGGCCTAAACTGACTGCTTCAACCAAAATTCAGGTAATAATATTGGTCTCAGCAATGTTCGCATTTTGTTTCTTTTCCTAACTTAGTGGTCACACTTATTCTAAAATTATCAGATGTCCTGCGTTCAACAAACCTTTAATAATTTTGGAAACCAGTGCCATATATCCAAACGTCCTCACTTGGCCAAACTAGTTTAGATACTGAATAGAACCTGAAAATCTGGTCATTTCATCTTGCTAATCTTGTCTCCTGGTCGTTTCAGTTTATGAAAAGCAGTCAGTCAGCAACCAACGTACGTACGTACATCAGCTCAAGTTACCATGTCACATAAACATAGAGAAGTTGTCACTATCTAGACTTCTACGACACTGATGCACCTGAGAAGATAATCAACATCATATTCTTATGGATTAATATGCAAAATCGTGCATGCAGAACAGCTCACACACACACTGAGGTATGCATCCAACTGCATCGCAAGGCCTAGCCCTTGTAGTGGCGATCGAGTCTAGATTGACTATGATTACAACTATATACTAATTACGAGCCCGTCACCGAGAAGATAAATTAATCCATTTCAAAGAATTTATTTGCTGGCAATCTCATGGTATCAAAAGAATACCGAAATCGTGCCGACAAAAAGTACAGTTGAACAATCACTGGTACAATTGATTATAATAATAGTGTTTCTATTGAACCAATCGCATTCTCTTCATAAAAGTGAATCCTCTTCACCCTCATGTGGAGTCCTCAGTCCCGAAGGGGGCGATTAAGATCAAGAAACACATCGCACTGAGAATTGGAAACAGCCATGAAAAAATGAACGCCACTTGGATAGGACTAGAAATAAAGGCGCAGGACAGAGTAGTTTGGAGAATGCTAGTTGGCAGCCTATGTTCCATTACGACTAGACATAAATTTATTTGGCCTACTCTTATATCATGCAACATCGCTAATCGAGGTAGTCAGTGGTTGTCCTAACCACCTCAACTGATAAAAATTCACTACTTCAACTGATTTGCCATCATCACCTAGTAATTTTTTCCTCACCACCATCATTACTCGATGGGGCAATTCTTCGGAGTCTCCGACTTCGCTAGTCACTAAGCTATCAGTGCTGACGCGACTCCCAAGAAGCGTTCAACATGTTCAACTATTTCACTCCCTATCACTAGTTCTGGTGCCGACGCAAGCCAATCGTGAAGCAACATTTTAAATTTGGAGAAGGAGAACTGCATCCCGAACATGCGTTGTCATTATCATCATCAACAGCAACGTAGAACTTTGTTGTTGCTTAATGTAGTCACAAAAATCCGCATTTTGTCAGCGTCTTCACTAAATGAAACTATCATCTGCATATTCCAAGTCAACAAGCGGATCTCTAGTTAGAAGACTAATTTCTGAAAAGTCAGACAACGAAAGCGTCGTCTTTAAAGCTTGTCAATGAAAAATTTAAGTAAGAATGTGGAAAGTAAACAACTCAGTCAGTAGTGTTCAAGTAGAGAGCCTGTACAAAATTAGAGTACTTCTTTGGTATACCTCCCAATGACAGATCTGACAATGAACATTTGATCTATACATGCCCGTCCAGGTCTGAAACGTGCCTAGCTTTCTCGGGTTTGTTCTTCACAAGCTCTAGGTAGTCCTGGAAGTATGAGTAAATTAAAGCCAATATATTAGACACAATATTAGTTAAGCTGACCCCTCAGTGATTGTCACAAAAAGACTTTTGTCCTTTTTTACAGACTGTGACAACCAGCGATTGAGACCAGTATGATGGGATTACATCTAGTTTCCAGGTTTTTTAGCTAAGATTTAAGTCGATCTAACTTTTAAAACTGAACCACCACTCTTAAACATCTGGGGTTAATCTATCAGGACCGGCTACCCTCCCTCACCTCAGATTGCCTATAGTCTTCCTAACTTTATTAAAAGTTTAGGACTACACCATCTTGCTTGTCATATTGGCTGGAAATCGTAAGTAACCGGAGCGTGGCTGAAGGCAGTTGAAGCGAAACCTAAAATGTTCTACTCATCCATCCAATCTTCTAGATTAAGAATAAATGATAGTACTATCTTTTCTCCAGTGAGTCTGGCTAACAGTCTCTTTTCTAATACCAGTTTCCTTAATTAGTCTGGACAATGGTCTACTGTTACTTGTTGCTGTCTCGCCTCTCATCGTGTTCAAAGCCATGGTTGTCTGGCCGTTCTCCAAGTGTCTTTCGAAATGTACTCGGCTATATTATCGTTTAGTATAACTCTGAAGGGGTTTCCTTGTTGTGTCTTTCTTACTTCTAGTGAGCTCCATGATCCAAGTCTGAATATATGCTTCGGAATGAGTGGCAGTCTTCTATCGAGCCTATTCATCGGTGACTGATAGCAATGTGGTTTGTTTGGGTTTAGCAATTAGTTGATTTTGGGGTTCGTCATGTCGAAGTATGTTTACGAATATGCCTGAAGTTGGTATTTGCCAGAAATAGGCGGTTGTTTGAGCATAATTCTCTGTTCGTCGAGCCACGACATCATAAGATCTACCGAGGTGTCTTCCAGTTTCTCTTAGTCTATCTGCTTGAGCATTAAAATCACCAGCTACTATAACTACATCGGAGCGCTTAGCCTTTTGAAGGTTGAAAATTTTTTTGTATAATTCACATTTTACCCTATCTGAGCTGTAGTCAGTGTGAACTTAGGCAGACACAGTAAAGAGGCAACAGCGAGTGTCCCGTTCAGTCGGACTGCGCACAAGTGACTGTCCATCGGAATCCAGTGTAGGAGAGCCACTTCTGCTTTAGAACACAATACTACCTGCACCAGTGAGGCTTTGGGTATCAGTAGTGGGGCTTACATATAGATGAAGCGTAAGTCGAAACGGTTCTTTATTTCAACGAAGTGAGGTCAAATGACTCACCGTGGTTGGATCCAGTGTGTTTTTCGGAGGTGCAGTTCACATCGATGGCGCGAGATTCTAAAGTTGTAGCTAAAGAAGCTTGTCCTATTCGGCACAAGATCGTAACATTAATAGCTTCAACATTTATTTTAGAGTGTGATTTCAGAAGACCGGGAATAACATTTCGTGTGTACTCAAGTCATTATAATTAGCGGCTCCAGGTGATGAATGCATGGTAGGAACTGAAGAAACAGGTGTTCCAGCCAATAAAACTTCGTTGAGTCATCACGATAGGCAAGCCTGACCACCATGTCAGGTAACAGCTTTGGTCGGGAAAAAGAGAAAAGCCGACATGAATATGGTTGTCCAACTATCAGCTTCTGTAGTCGTCAGATGTCTAAATGGAAATGGTAAACTCACAACAATCAGGTCGGCCTCAAAGTCATCATAGAACGTATTGATTTTTCCTTAGATTTTTTTTATCATTTGCAGATGTCCAACTGGTATTCTTTAGCTTGAATTCTACACTCAGCTACATCAATCATTGTTGTTTTTCATTTTGTTTTACTTGTACATAATTGAAATACGCTCCCAAGAGATGCTTCAACTTACCAAGTGCTTTTTATTCTAGTGTACTGTAGGTTGAAGCAGAATTAACGGCAAATTATCTTAATTGGTTGCGCCAAGTTCCCATTTTAATTTATTTTCGCCATTGTCATTTATGGAACATCACTTTTGGGGTTTAGTATTTCCTATGTTGTGAGACTTATCAACTCAAGTTACAGTTTTCTTTAGCGAATATGACGTAATTCATCACGCAGCATTCAAACGATACTGATAATGCATTCCTCTCCCGAATGCTGCCAATCGACTACACTTACCATTTTAATAATATCATGGATATCACGTCAAAATTCTGCGTACTTTCTAGTGGATGAGATTCTAGTTAATTTTAGAACAATTTCAGATGCTTATTTAACACTAATCACAATAGCTTTCATTCACAATTATGAATACATGAATACATACCTCCACTTAGGTGTTATCACCATGACCTGCACAGCATAGCTCAGACTTGTGGCGCAATCACACAGGTGGCCCAAGACTTGACTCCAGTTGGACGAACTATAGAGTATGCGATGAAATACATCTTCCTTTCCATTTCCGTACATCATACTCAGGCAAACCCTGTTTGTGCGACGGTGGTAATAAAAAGCTAAATACGGTTTTGCGAATGGATTTATTTCATGCATTCATTTAAGCAGACAGACATGAGAATGAAAAGCGTACAAGCAAGGCGAAGCGAACTGGAGAAGGCGATTGAACTAATTCACATTCACTGAAGCATGACCAAGTATTTAAAGTCAGGCGTTAATAGGCTAGACGTAATAAGCGAATAAGCATGCACACAATCAAATATACAATAGTCGATACTATTATCGATTTTTTTAAACTGTTAACCAATAAAGCTAGTCGAATGACAATATGCGTAACCGATAAGCAATTCCCAAGCATATAAGCGCGTGCAAGCTCAACAATGTTAAAAATACACCGAATCAAAACATTCTGATATGTATATTCGTAAATGCTGTTTTCTAACTTTTATTCTCTAACATATGCGGCCTTTTTTTCAGATTGTTGGAGACGATTTGACCGTTACCAATCCAAAACGTATCAAAAAGGCGATTGATTTAAAGGCTTGTAACTGTCTTCTTCTGAAAGTAAATCAGATTGGTTCAATAACTGAGTCCATTGAAGCTTGCAAGTTGGCACAAAACGCAGGATGGGGTGTTATGGTTTCACATCGATCAGGTGAAACGGAAGACAATTTCATTGCTGACCTAGTTGTTGGTCTTTGCACCGGGCAGGTATGTCTCTGCGTCATTTCCCTAAAGGTTTTAAACATGTACAAACACGCCACAAACCATTCTACTGTCATTAATAGTTAAGTACTCATTCACATTAACGCTATAGTGTGTTTAAATTGATATGATTTTAGCTCCAAAGGTTATTGGTTGCTTAAAATCGAGTTGTATTTATAAATTTCAGTAGTTTCATTCTCTTCAAATTCCATAAACTTTCACATACTAATACAGGTAGCATTTATTCATCAACCATGATCAAGTTACTCTAAAAGCAGGAGGTTGAATTGATTACATACCGTCTAATAACCACAGTTATAGAGTGTTTGGACGATGTATTTTATTGTTTTAATTAGAAAGTAAACATTCCAATTGATTTCTTATTAAGCAAGCAAAGATTCCACCGAAAGATATTATCAACATACACTGGCTATTAAATGCCCCAATTTTAATTAAATAATAACCTGTACTATAACAGTATTTACAAATTTGTTACTTTTCCTTTTAGATAAAAACAGGTGCACCTTGTCGCTCTGAACGTTTGGCTAAATACAACCAACTCTTACGTATTGAAGAGGAATTAGGAGCGTCAGCAAAATATGCTGGGAAAAACTTCCGCCATCCTAACGCATAAGAATAGTCGATAAAATTAACATTTCAATGTCTTCTGAAGAATTAAACTGATTTAGTTAATTATCATGTAGACTATCATTAAAAAGTATAATATGTCACTTCGTTTTTTTGAGTATTAACGTGTTGATGCTGTTAGAGTCTGGTAAAAATACCTTACAATGCTCTCACAAGCACTTAATGGTTTCGTTAAGCAAAAGCAATCTTTTGTGACACCACTTTCCTCAAAGTATCGATAAACATTCTAACATTCATTTTTCTTGCGTCTCCATAATCTGGTTGATGATTTTCAGGCTTTATGTCAAAGCCTCGTTCTAATAAAATAATAATAGTAATAATGAAAATAATAATAACAATCGCTGATTACTTGGTTGATTTCGAGAGACCTTTTATTTTATTGGATATAGGTAGTTCCGAAGCATCGTGAGTGCTAGACCTACCGTTGTTTCATCTATTTCATGCATGTCTGCTCAGATAAGCGCCTATTTCTTGATAACAATAACTTTAAGCATGAGGAAAAACATCTCGTGGTCTGGCGATCCCCGAGGCCGACCCAACGATGAATCCAACCAGATCACATCGCTATAAGCCATCGATAGAGAGGCTGTATTGAAGACTGCCGCCCATTCTGGAGCACTTGTTTAGATTCAGATAATGCTCTAGTGCGAGCGCGTATTTTTTGGGCCTTACTGGGCGTAAGAAAGATTTCTCAAGGAAACTTCTAAGTGTTCTGTTTAATGATAACAAAGATGGGAATACATTACAGGAACAACTAGGAAAACAGTTGGGCAACTAGGTAGAAGATGATGCTCACCCTGAGACAGCTTGTAGTTATATCCATGAAGCTGTGGAAACAGCAGTGACATCTGCTAGTAAGGTAAACCACAAGGTTGAGAAGAAGCAGTGGGGTTCAGTAGCATAGATGCTCGAAAACTCATCCCATGTGGCATTGAACATGACGAAGAGCGAAGTCAGCTTAAGCTTAGGCTGGTAACAAGCCTACGCAACGATCACGAGCATTGGTGGGTAGCGAGAGCGATGGACAAGGCAACGGCGGTAGGCAGCAGTAGCCAACCGCTCCGCCCTATCAAGAATATCGGTATTAGAAATTCATCTGTTAGCGAGTCTATCTCAGTAAGGGGTGGCAGTATCATTCATTCTCTACTCAGGAGATTGGATCGATGAACAGAACACTAGGGATGAGTTCATTCGACTTTCAGCAACGTTTCGGTTACCCTGAATGACAAATCGACATAAGTCCTCCGAATCTAAATGTAGTTGAGAAAGCGAAGAAGAGCAGCGGGGCGTGACATGCTTGTCAATTTGATTTTTAAGGATGGTGGTCCATTTTTTAGTAGTCAGAGTGAGATCTTAGGCAGAATCCGAGAACTGGACGTAATCCTGTCTGGCTAGTTAGTCTCAACCACTAATTGTCCCAGTCTATTAGAAAGGACAAGATTCCTCTTGTGAAAATCACAGCGGAATAAGTCTAACTAACTAGCCTATGGCGTAGGCGAGATATCCGTTTGCTAAACAAAGGACGAGTGTACTGCGCAGCATTTCGCTCCGTCCTACTACACCGATGCGAAACATGGCTGATAAGAGTAAGGGACATTTGTGGGTTAGTGGTTTTCTACCATAGATGTCTTCGAAGCATTTCTCGTATATCCTGGGGCATCCGAGCAAGCAATGTCGTTGTTAGGAAACGGGTCCTAGTTAAGGATGGCAGGTCAACTGATGAAGTAGTGAGACTTCATGTAGGAATAGGTTGGAAGAAAGCTAGGAGTGACCAGACCAAAACATGGCAGAGATCCATGAAGTCACTCACTGAAAAGTGGACTAGTCATGTTGGTAGTTGTCGACCATTTTGTTTGGGTCCGCGAGATAATAGTAATCGATGGTTGGAGTCAATCAACAGCAACGTAGGACTTCGTACGTACGTACATCCGTTTAAGTTGTCAAACCGCATTAGCGCAGAGATGTAATTGTCAATTCAATTCCCATATTAGTAGATGCAGTAAAGGCATGAGCAGTAATAGGAGAGTTTATGGTTCGAATTTATTCAAGAAGTAGTATCTGGTGAAATAAACTTAAAAAGAAGAAGATTAAGTGTTGAGGAATTCAGAAGTTTAGGTTTTCAGAGAACACAAAGAATGAATTCGCCTGCGTCATTGGAGTCGGTTTTGAGCCATGTCATTCGGGGTCTCTAACCATCGATTAATATCATTTTGTGGGCCCAACCAGGTAGTCGACACCTACCAACATGACTCAGTCCACTTGTCAGTGACTTTATGGGTTTCTGCCATGTTTTGTTTTGGCCGGCCCTAGCTTTCTTCCAACCTACTCCTACACCGCCAAATATCGCTCGTCGACGATCCGGCATGCGTAACACATGTTCCAACCGTCTGAACTGATTAAGTTTCAATACCTCATCACTCGACTGACCGCTCTTACCTAGGATCCGTTTCCTAACAACAGTATTGCTTACTCGGTTGTCCCATGATACACGAGCAACGCTTCGGGGGCGCCTATGAACGAAAACCAGCAAACCACGGATATCTTTTTCTCTGACTGGCCACGTTTCACAGCCATAAAGTAGGTTTCTTTCACTAGATTTTGCGTCTTGAATAATATCGTCGAACCCTAAAATTTCCGATTACTGCCAACACTTCTGCGACCTCTACTACTATGGGGTTCGGATCGACAATTGCATCTCTTTGTTATTGTGGTATGGTTACTTGAACTGATGTACCTACGTACGAATTTCTACGTTGTAACTGGCTGACTGCGTAATATTGAGGTATCCGAGGAAAATATATCTTCATATTTATCACCCTTTTGTGCTTAACCTTTGTCAAAGATTAGTTTGCTTGTTGTTTCTTGTAGAACTGTGTAAATAATGATATAGTGTGACCCGTTTTTTAATTGGAGTTCCCTATAGCTAGATTTTGGTCACACTTTCGGTTGTATTCCTAATGACATTATCCAGGTGCCGAAGATGAAATAAATATAATGGGTTTTAAGCCCGCGACCTGATGGTTGAAAATGTAGTGCCCTCATCACTAAACCACCTCTATTTCATGTCGACTAAGTGTGATCTTTATTTCACGAAATGCGTACATCTTAGTAATTTTATAGCTAATGAAGAGTTTTCGTTTATTTGTTTGTTTAAATCTCTGTGCTTCCGAGTGGGATGGAGGTGATCAATCACGCGATCTTCGTTAGATACTTTTGAGAAAATTTCTTAAAGTTACTAGATAATATGCATAGTACATAAATCTGGCTGAAAATGTCTAACGTTATGTATCATGAAACACAAATTATATCAAGGATTAGAACAAAAGACACTGTATATTATATCACATTTTTGTAATACAACAGTAGAAATAGACCTAATATATTGAATGAAGTTCACGATTTATGTACAATTTATGATATTTGTTTGAATAGAATATGGGATTATTGATAATTAGTTGAAATTTCAAATTATTGCGCATTGTATAACGAACGATCTTTTCACTTGAACCACTATAAATAAGTTTGTATAGCTTGTGGTATAAATTCGAATATATGTGTTATTCAACGAAAATAATATTTCAAGAATAATTCACACGCTTTATCGTTAAAAGTTTTTACATTGTACCAGTTAAGTAAACAAATATGTATTGGGCATACGCCAAGAAGAGATTAATCGTAAATCTTGTTCCATAATGTTAATTTCATACTTATAGTGTTTTCCTATATAAACAAACCTGTTATCAAAAGTCAACATGCAGTAGATTCTTACCTTTAATAACAAACACAATTCTGAAATATAACTGAAAACAAATCATAGGAAATCAGTAGACTGATCAAAATTTTACAAAATGATGTTTTATATAAATAATGTTTGTTATAATGTAGGTGTGCATTAAATATGGAATAATGGACATTTTCTTTTTTTTTTTACAATAAAATTGCCTATATTTTAATGTTTAGTTCGGTACATGTTATTCTCATGATATTGTAATGCAGATGATAAGTTTTATTCCTATTTCTCAACGGGTAGTTTTATTCATTTGTTGGATTGTTCGTTGAATGTTTAAAAATATTGTTTTTTTTTTGTTTTTTTTAAGAGCTAGTATGAAATAGATTATTTGTCTAAATGTGTAAAAAATACATCTTCAAATTTCATGTGTTAACAAAATTAACCATCCCTTCAATTGAATTCATCATCCTTTGTCATTTTTGTACTCAGTGTGGATTGTTGTTGTTTCACATAATCTGTTTCTAAATTGTGAAATATAAGTAGAATAAACAAAGTGTTTTTTTATTCTTCTTTTCATATTGAGCAGAATCGTAAAAAAATGTTATCAAAAACAAAGTGTGAATATAACTCTTATGTATTATAGAGTTGTACTACCTACCGTTTCTAGCTAACTTTTTTGCTTTCACAGAGATTGAATTAGATTTTGTTGCGAATATATATACAATTTCAAAATTGATAGTCAGAAAGTTTTGAGCGTAAATAAACACGGAATATTTGTTTTCAATCAAGTAAACAATTTCAGTTATGCTAGAGAACGAAACAGTTATTTTTTTTTAGTGTGATGCCAATTCCGTTCAGTGGATAAGGCCACCAAATTTTCTTAATTGTGTTCATTTTGGAAATAAAATGAAACTGTTATTGAATTTTATTGATCGGATTCGAATTTCGTTCGACATCATTATATTAGCGCTTGTTAAATTTTTTTGCAGGAATAAGTGTGGGAATGGCTAATGAAAATAATATTCATCTCTCAACACGAAGTGACAATCTTTTAGTTAATTATTTGATAGTAAAAGCTATATCGAAATACTCATTCGAGAATTCGATCAGTTTTAATGTTGTTTTTTTTTTTTCTAAATTGAGTATACTTTAAATTATCCTATTAACTAGAAGGTTTTTTCGCGGAAAAAAAGAATTTTCTAATGATATTCTGACTATGTCAACCGATAAGCAGTAAGAAAAATACATTCACATCA